TCAGAGGGACCCCCCGTCAGCGAAACTACTACTACGAAGCCAGTGTCGAAGAAGCCACCTTCGCGAAGGTCATCACAGCCCACCTCCACGAAGGACCCAGATGATCAGCATTCGCGAAGGCCTTCGCGAAGGACGACTAGATCACCACCTACCTCGGACTCTGACGATCAGCACTCGCGAGGAGGTTCGCGAAGCAAGATCCTTTCATCCCCGGACCCGGACTCACAGCTTTCGCGAAGGCCTCCACGAAGGTCAAGTCGTCACTCCCCAGGACCGGACTCAGATGAAGTTTTGCGAAGGTCTTCCCGAAGGGTACCAGTTACAGGCTCCAAGTCATCTTCGTCTAGAAGGTCATCGAGGGATTCACCGAGAGCTTCGCGAAGCTATCAACGTTCACCACATAGATCTCCGCAAAGGTCACCATACAGACGCCGCTCGTCAGGCCGTTCTCAACGTCGATCTCCTCGCCGGTCTCCACGTCGATCGCCTCGTCGATCGTCTCACAAGTCTTCACGGAAATCCCCAGACAGGTCTCCGTTGACGTCACCCTGCAGAGCTGTACAAGTATACAGGACTCCACCTCAGTCACCATCGGAAGAGCACCAACATCTTATCTGCGATCCCGTTACAGAAGACGATGGAGGTATCATATTTTCCGACGCAGAAATACGCTACTGGATGGTTAACAACCTGGACCTATCTTCACTGTCCAAGAATGAGAACCCGGCCCACACATATCTCATGACGGAGGATGATGCAGATACATTCACCTTGCCTCCGATCGACCCGATAGCAGCGGTCCCAAAGAATCTGGACACAGCCTTCCATAAAGCCACTGAAGCCCAGACGCCGCACTTGCGGCAGTTCAACGCTAAGAAGTTCGCAGGCCATAATATGGACCCATTTCTCAAGGCACAAGAAATTGACGATAACTTCAAAGAAATCAACGGTGCCAAGACTAAGATTTACAAGATAGACGACCGCAAGCTAGTTCAGATGGAAACCATGACAAGGAGAATGTTCTTTGGCCTTAACAGATCAAGAACGGTTAATGAAACTCTCATCACCAGATTCCGAGATTCTACATCAGAAGACGACAGAATGATATACTCGGCCCTCCTCATGCAGAAGAAGGACCAGCAGTTTTTAACGGATCATCTTACATCAGTCTCCGCAGCGATAACTATGGCTCGTCGTCAAGGTCTCCTCGCCTCCTGTAATTGGGGTGAACAGTTTACTTCTTCACTTTACACAGCCCCGTGGTCAATGCCGTCAATCTTCGATGGAGGTATAGATAAAGTATAGTAAAGTAGCTAACGTCATCAGGCAAACATCGCAGAGATATTCAGGAAGATCGGAGTTCACCGGCCTACAGAGAGCAAGGGACAGGAAGATGGCAAGCTCAAGAGGAGGAAAAGAATCTTTTCGTCGCACATACGGCAATTACAGGGGAGGATCTGGAAGAGGCAGGGCACCCAGAGGCTCCCGCAATTATAAACGATGAAAGACAGGTTCCGAACGACTGGAGTCTTCCACCCCCAGCCGTTCCAGTACAACCATCACAAGTGGGTGGACGCCTTCAACTGCACTGGGAGAACTGGGGAATGCTACGAGATCCATATGTCTCCAACATCCTAGAACACTGATATCGAATCCAACTACAGGCCACGCCTCCGCTTACAGTCAACCCTCTCAGGTTCGACTTCCAGGCTCAACAACTACCAAAGTTACGAGAAGCTGTGTCATCTCTCCTAACCAAGCAGGCCATAGAAGTACTGGAACAAGTAAACATCGAACCAGGCTTCTACTCCCCAGTTTTCCTAGTGCCCAAGAAAAACTCCAAGGAAAAGTTTCAACTCATCTACAACATGAGCACGTTCAACAGAGATTATCTACGCAAACCGCCAACGTTTCGCATGATACATCTACCTCAACTACGGCACCTAGTTCTTCCCATGGACTACATGGCCAGTATAGATCTGCAGGACGCTTATCTACATATCCCGATACATCCCGAATCAAGGAAATACCTACGGTTTACACTAGACGGGTTGCATTACCAATGGAGAGTACTGCCATTTGGAATCTCATCGGCCCCCTGGTTGTTCACTAGAGTAGCGAAACCTATCGTCACTTACCTACATCGTCTAGGGCTACGCAGTGTGTTCTACCTCGACGACGGGATACAATTGGATCTAGATCCACAGCGTCTCAAACTACAGTTAAACTTCATCATCAAGCTACTAACACAGCTAGGATGGTTAGTAAATCTACTCAAGTCGGACCTAGAACCTACGCAAGATCTGCAATTTCTAGGCATTCGATTTCTCACGACACAGAATCGTATCGTCGTACCAGAGGACCGATGGCTCAAGATCCAACAGCAACAGACCATCCCACAAGCCTTACTCTCTCCGCTACCACTACGACAATGGCAGGGTCTGTTGGGTCTACTCACGTCACCTCAAGACATGACAGTCAGAGGCAGACGACAGTTACGTCCGTTACAGGTCCTCATCAACGCTCATCTGGACGACCCACAACCATTCAGTCTGCCGAAGTAAGTCAGACCCCGTCTACTATGGTGAACCAAGAGGTCGAATGTCTGCGAAGGCATTTATTTTACAGAGACGGAATTCAAAACCCATCTCTATGTAGACACGTTGCTCCAAGGTTGGGGAGCTCATCTCGCCAACCGGACGGCATCAGGGTTATGGAATCAGCAAGAGAGCAAACTGCACATAAACATGCTAGAAATGCAGGCAGTAATCAACAGCATACTACATTGGAGCAACATTCTACAGAATGCGCATCTGATGATTCACACAGACAACTCAACAGTGGCGTTTTATGTTAACAAACAAGGCTCAACGAGATCATTGAACCTATTGACTGTATGTTTTCAACTGTTCGATCTAATAGACGATCTCAACATACATGTCAGAGCATGTCACATTCCAGGAGCCAAGAATGTTCTAGCAGACGCACTCTCTCGGCCACATCTACCGTCGCCGACAGAATTGATGCTCCATACAGAGATATTTGCACAAATTATCAAGGAAATAGGAGCTCCGCTAGTAGACCTATTCGCCACTTTCGCTTTCAACAATCAGCTAACAACATTCAGATCACCAGTCCCGATCCACAAGCATGGGCAACGGACGCACTAAGCATATCCTGGGAAGGCCTCAACGCGATGCGCTTTTCTGCCAGCCAGCGTTAATCCCTCAGGTGTTACAGAAAATCAAGCAAACTCTGAGCCTCCAACTGATTTTGGTCACTACTGGCCAGCTTGAGAACGTGGTTTCCAATTCTAATTCAAGAAATCAGACAACCAATACTACAACTGCCAAAGCCCTCGAATCTACTAGTACATCCTCACACCAAACAAGCGCACGGAAATCCAGAAGCATTCCAACTTCACGTATGGACTGTATTAAAGTGTGTCTAAACAAGAGAGGTTATTCAGCCAGAGCGGCGAAAGCAGTCATGCTTGCTTTAAACAATTCTACGCGCAACTTGTATGATGACAAGTGGCACAGTTTTGAAACATACGCTGCTAAAAAGGGATTTACAGCTTTAAATTCTGTGATAACTATGAGAACGGGTGTCAAGTTAACCAAAACACCAGAGTTACTGGCCTTCCTAAGTGCATTCCGATTGGAGGATCAAAAACAGAGATCTAAATATAGTGCTCCAACACCTCACAAGTGAGGCATATGAACCACTGGAATCAACATCATTTGAATTTCTGACACAGAAAACATTGTTCCTGTTATCTCTAGCAACGGCAGCCAGGATGTCAGAAATTCACGCACTAGATTATGAGAGAACACATTTCGATGACAATCAAAACATCGTGCATATGGGACTACGCTGGGATTTCATCGCCAAGAATCAATTGCCAGGTCAACCAGACAGATTATTCCATGTCCCTGCACTCTCGTCAATTCTCGGACCTCATGATACACTTGACCTATCATTATGCACAGTCAGAGCACTCAAAATCTATCTACAACGATCCAAAACGAGGCGACGACAACTCAAGCGGTTATTCATCCCTCTATCGACAGCGACACAGACCGAAGTCTCGCATACCACGATATCGATATGGATCAGAACTGTCATACTTCGCGCCTACAAGGCTGCAGGACTCGACCCTCCAAGAGCATCTAATCCACATGAAATTAGAGCACTGGCTTCAACACTCGCTCTACACGGGAAGTGCTCATTGAATACCATTATGGAGGGCTGCTTTTGGAAATCCGACATGGTGTTTGCCAACCACTATCTGAGAGATATCACCACCGAGGACGTCTCAGGTATTCACCATTTCGGTCCCATGGTCTTCACACAGCAGTTGACAGTCCCTCGTAGACGATAAGTCATTGTCTCACGAGATTATTACTGTATATATCATAACAGTACTATCTAGCTTATAACTCTACAGAGTTTTGTGCTATTATATATATATATCTTAAGTCTACATTAGTCTTAAGCTCAGTACTGATGTTGTATGTACATTGGGTCGCTTCTCCACTTTGGAGTCGCTTTATTCTATTATTATTACTTTCATAATATCTATATATATTGTAGTAACCCCTTGGTGAGTACTAATTAGTGATTTTACATTGAGGGGAGCTTCAATTAGGGAGATACAAGTGTTCCACTATGTTCGCAAGAAGAAGACAAGCAATAAGAGCATGAGTCAGGATAAGTATATAATATCAATTTTATTCAGAAAATTACATTATTTCAAATGATTTGGTCCACATTGTGTATCCTCACTTGGGGTTTTAAGGTTCATAAAGGCCACAATGACTTGACGCATTTTAAGTTTTTCTGTTAAACTGAATTAGAAGCAGACAGTAAAAATATGCCTGATGTCTGATTTAAACACTTCCTTGCTTATTCATCATCTATTCTGACTGGAATGATGTATCCCTGGTCCAGATTTGACTATTCACAAACCAACTTTGTTGTTTTTTGTTTCCCCACAGAACGCTACAGCCAAAGGGTTGAACACCTGAAGGAGTATTTTGTGGACATCCGTGCTGTCCAGACAGCCAAACAGCTTCTTGAGCAGCATGGCCATGTCAGCATCTGTGGAGCTCCAGGAGATGGGAAGACCAGCACTGCTCTGATGATCTGTGAGGCATATCAAGAAAAGAGATATGAAACAGTGTTTGTGGAAAACATTGAACAATTTGATGTTGATACAATTTCTAAACGACATTCACACATGCTGGTTGTTTTTGATGATATTTTTGGCTCTATTGCATTCATTTCAAATTTGGGAGCGATCCGTAAGTTGCTCAGTGCCTTAGCTGATGATCTCACTAAAACTGCTGCTGATAAAGAGAGGGATTCTAAGAAGAAGAAAAGTAAACATTCAAAGGGTGATGAAAAATCAAACGAAGATAAGGAGAAATCCAAAGAAGAAACCCCTATCTACAAACTGCGGCTTGTTTTCACCTCTAGAACATACAACTGGAAGGAGGGATGCTCAAGGCTACATCAGTACAAAGAGGGTCTACTTAAAACAGAAGCTACTCTTGATATGACTGAACACCATCTCACAGTTGAAGAAAAGATACGTATGTTACTTTCATACATGACCAAACATCCCTCAAGTGATATCTCTGAAAAGGACATGTGTACCATCACTGATTCAAAACACAACATATTTGGATTCCCTCTTATCACCAAACTCTTTTTTACCAATGCAAAGTTCCAGATGCACAACTTGAAATTCTTCAACTATCCACTGAACTATCTAAGAGATGACATTGACAGTATTGTCCGGGAAAAAAGCAATAGATCAGCAGCCATCCTCATCCTCATCCTTTGTGATGGAAACCTGAACCTTGTTTCTTTGCAGTCAAGCAAAGCTGGACATGCCATGTTTGAAGCTGTGAAGAAAGTAGTTCCTGAGTGTACAGAAACCGAGATTGCCAAGGAGATCAACAACTTTACTGGGATCTACTGTACAGTGGAGGATCACATGGCATCTTTCTCCCACCCCGCCATATACGATGCTGCAGCATGTGCTGTAGGACATCTCAATATCGTGTTGCTGCTGGAACACTGCTCCCTGAAATTCATGTATGAAAGAGTGAGACTAGCTAAGATTTCACAAAAATCATCAGACGTTGATGATGTCACAAACATGATCTACATCACTCCCCAACTACACCAAGTAGTAGCAAACAGACTGGTTGAAGGTATTACACAAAGACGCTTCATTTGGACAGTGAAACATCCAGTTCTAAGTGATGAGATGATTGCCTCCTTACTATGGACAGAGATTAATGATAACATCGTTGAGATTGTCCAGCAAAAGGATAGAGACAGTGGTGAATGGTTTATATATTTGACTTCTGTGTCTGAGAGTTACACTCTGTTCTCTAAGTCATTAGATGTTATTCGAAGATTGCATAACACCACATTTGATCTGTATGAGTGTGTGGTAGCCTGTGTTAGACATGGCAAACTGGAACACCTTAAACATCTAGTTACTGAGATGTGTCTACATGGTGGGTTCAATGTTGAATTTTCCATAGCTGGGGAAACCCTGCTCATTATGGCTGCCAAGTCAGGACATTCAAAGGTGTTTGAATTTCTCAGTCAAAAAGGCGAGATATTTCAGTGAAGGACAGGACTGGAAACACATGTTTGCATTATGCTTGTAAATCAGGAAGCATGGTGTTGACAAGAAAGTTGATTGAAATGTGTCCTGTTTTGATAGATTTGCTGAATCATAAGGGGTTTACACCTGCAATGCTTTGTGCTGAAGGAGGTCATCTTCATCTCCTGAAGTTCCTGAAACAAGAAGGAGCCCAATTAACATTTACCAACTCTGTCGGAACAGATTGTTTGCATTTGGCGAGTAAAGAAGGCAACTTGTCAACTGTAAACTTTTTGATTGCACTGAAAATATTTGATGTAAACAATATGGAAATAGAGATGATGCAAACACCCATCATGATGGCAGCGGAAGGAGGACACTATGATGTTTATGATCTCCTTGTGTCTGAGGGTGCAGATCTGACCCTTACAGATGATAAGGACAGAGACTGTCTGGTGTTGGCTTGTGAAGGAGGTAACATATCCATAGTAAAAGATGTCTTGGCAAGGAAATCATGTGACATCAACAAACAGGGAGGATGGTATAAACAAACACCCGTCATGATGGCAGCGGAAGGAGGACACTATGACATTTATCTCCTTGTGTCTGAGGGTGCAGATCTGACTCTTACAGATAGATACGACAGAGACTGTCTGATGTTGGCCTGTGAGGGAGGTAACACATCCATAGTAAAAGATGTCTTGGCAAGGAAATCATGTGGCATCAACAAACAGGGAAGAATGGAGGAACAAACACCCGCCATGATGGCAGCGGAAGAAGGACACTATGACATTTATCATCTCCTTGTGTCTGAGGGTGCAGATCTGACCCTTACAGATGATAAGGACAGAGACTGTCTAATGTTGGCATGTCAGGGAGGTAACATATCTATAGTGAAAGATGTCTTGGCAAGGAAAACCTGTGACATCAACAGACGGGGAGGATTGGATGAACAAACACCCGTCATGATGGCAGCGGAAGAAGGAAACTATGACGTTTATGATCTCCTTGTGTCTGAGGGCGCAGATCTGACCCTTACAGATGATGAGAACAGAGACTGTCTAATGTTGGCCTGTGAGGGAGGCAACATATCTATAGTGAAAGATGTCTTGGCAAGGAAAATCTGTGACATCAACAGATGGGGAGGATGGAAGGGACAAACACTCGTGATGATGGCAGCGGAGAAAGGAAACTATTATATTTATGATCTCCTTGTGTCTGAGGGCGCAGATCTGACCCTTATTGATAATGGCAACAGAGACTGTCTGATGTTGGCATGTGAGGGAGGCAACATATCTATAGTGAAAGATCTCTTGTCAAGGAAAACCTGTGACATCAACAGACGGGGAGGATTTGATGAACAAACACCCGTCATGATGGCAGTGGAAGAAGGAAACTATGACGTTTATGATCTCCTTGTGTCTGAGGGCGCAGATCTGACCCTTACAGATGATAACAACAGAGACTGTCTGATGTTGGCATGTGAGGGAGGCAACATATCTATAGTGAAAGATGTCTTGGCAAGGAAAACCTGTGACATCAACAGACGGGGAGGAATCGCTAATCAAACACCGGCCATGATGGTACTACAAAGAGGAGACTTTGCAATATATTCTCTCATTGTGTCTGAGGGAGGAAAAGATGTTGTTATTTACCAAAGAGAATAGAATCACATTGTGTGATCCTTTTTGATTTCCGTGAGGAATAACAGTCTGAGAATCTTGCCATGTAACATAGTTATATACTTCTGCTGAATATCATCAAACACTTGACAATGAGGAAGACATTCAAACAGAGATGTCATGTAAAGAAACATAGTGGCAGGGGTTTCCTTTGTAGGTTTATTTGTTTTGTGTAACGCCGCACTAAGCGATATACCAGATATATGGCGGCGGTCTGTATATAATCAAGAATGGACCAGACAATCCACCGATCAACAGCATGAGCATCGATCTACACAATTGGGATATGATGACATGTGTCAATCGTGTAGGAACCATGGATGGAGTAACTAGGGTTGTATATGGGTGTCAAATATTTGATGAATGTTTGATCAAGTGTCATGTTCCATCTGAAAAGATGGGTCTGAGATCAGGACTCTGTGATGTGATTGACATATTATTAGAGAAATAAATGAGAACTCAGCTTCATGCCCTGTGCTGCTGGGGTGTTGTGACTCCAGGTGTCAGAGTGAAATGAATCTTGATGGCTTGTGCTTTTGGAATCTAGATGACATTAAGTGCCGGAATGAGAGAAGTCAGCTTCAACACTTGTCCTTCTGTAACGTATAGTCTGTTTGCAGTGAAAATGTACCGATGAATTTCACTTTAAACAAAAAAGCAAATCAAATAAAGTGAAATTGAGATTGCGAATCCTCATAATTTTACATTGCTAACTTAAGATTTAAATCTAATAATATTATGCAACTGAGGATAAAAGTTGTTTAACAAACGATCATAGTTTCAAATCGTTATTATTGGTTTGTATTACAAGGGGGTATGCACATTAAAGGAAACACCGAGAACAAGTAGAGTTGGTCTAAGTTAACGCTCATCACGTACCGCTCGTGCATTTGTTTCAATGTTCCATCTACTGCGCTTACCCCCTTGTAATACAAACCAATAATAGAGATTTCAAACTATAACCGTTTGATAAACAACTTTTTTCCTAAGTTCATTATGTCACATGTTTATTAGATTTCTCCATTTAAAGTGGTTACAACCCCTGTAGACACAGGCATACCTTCAAGCGGGGAACATTATATGTTAGTTTGTTGCATTTGGGATTCTGTCAGTATGGTAAATTCTGTGAACATGTTGCTGACATTTTTCTCCTGGTTGCAAACTGAGTATTAACAGATATCTTACATTGAGTATTAACAGTTATCTTACATTGAGTATTAACAGATAACTTACATTGCATTATTTCATGGTACCCCATGTCTATTTTATCTTGTGTGTGTGTTCTTATGTGTTGTCAAACATGTAAAACAGCTTGAAAATGTTTCCAACATGCCACTTGTTTTTTCCTATTTTGTCTGTAACGGTTCATGTGGCATCAATGGTATGAACATATTGGTGACGTAAATTGGATCCAGGTGTATCATATATACCTATGGGTTAAAGAAACCATGCCAAACTTTTTTAAAAAGTTGTTGAAAACAAAATGATATATTTGAAAAGATCACCATTTCTAAAGTTTAGAGAATTATGACAGACAATGATAATGACGCGATGGGTACAGTCATGAGGGTTACTGAGGAGGTAGTCAATGTGGTTAAATACAGTATTGTCGATTTAGAGAGGTACACACCGATGGTAGGACGAAAACCCATCCATACATAATCCCAACCTGACAAAATCCCATAGGACAAAATGTCTGCACACTGTGGACAAAATACCAACAATGTGAAAAATGACATACAGGTGACAGCTGCGTTTAGCTCAGCAGATCTCTTGATTAATGTTGATGATAAGTAATATTAGCCACATGAGTCAATACATTTGTTTCATGCAGATTATGTAAATCCGTAAATACATACATAAATAGTAAGTGATGATATTCTGTTGCTGCTGTCGCAATCAATTAATTAATTTGTTCATACACACTGGCTTTGAGACTCGCATCATACTCTCATTTTGATTGGTTATTGTTACTAAAACCTAACTGAAAGATGATTAGATTACATATAATATATACTTTTCAAAAAGTAGGGGAACCTGAACTTTCAATTTGGATAGTAATCATTAGTGTTAAGAAAGACAGACATCTTATGAACGCACCTCCATTTCTCTTTATCACAACCCCTAAACACAACGCATGAGATGCACGTGCACAATGCAGTAGCCCCATACATGTGCATGGGGTGTCACTCTTGATTTTGCCAGTTTTCAAGAAGGTCGATAAATCACTGTACACTATGGGCTCCTTTCACGAAGCAACCTTAACTCCCATTTTATAACCATGCACTAAGGTTACCTTAGTGACTTACGATCACCTTAGTGCTTTGTGAAAGGAGGCCCAACACTGTAGACCATTGATTTTGACAATAATCTTGTATCACACAGTTGTTAGTGTTTGTGTCTAGCCGTTTGTTTGCTTGGAAATGAAAATCGAAAATGCAAATTTAATGCCATACACCAATCATCTTTCAAGAGATTTACTGTGCAAACAACTATTGTCATAAGGAAGTGCAAGTGGTGATGCACTCTCAAAACATTCATTATCATCATATCAACATTGATTGACTCCGATATATCTCCCAACTTTTTCAATCGTAAAATGTGAAGTTCACTATTTTTAAGAGCATATATTGATGTAGGTAGTGTACATAACAGTGGAAAGTTGTAGTGGTGTATGGTGGATTATCTTAATGTGGTGGTGTATATTGTAATAGTGGTGTATAGTGGATTATATTGATGCGGTGGTGTATATACTCACAGGTGAATATAGTAGTGGTGTATAGTGGATTATATTGATGTGGTGGTGTATATTGTAGTAGAGTGTTGTAGTGGTGTATAGTGGATTATATTGATGTGGTGGTGTATATTGTAGTAGAGTGTTGTGATTGTGTATAGTGGATTATATTGATGTGGTGGTGTATATTGTAGTAGAGTGTTGTATAGTGTATAGTGGATTATATTGATGTGGTGGTGTATATTGTAGTAGAGTGTTGTATATGGATTATATTGATGTGGTGGTGTATATTGTAGTAGAGTGTTGTAGTGGTGTATAGTGGATTATATTGATGTGGTGGTGTATATTGTAGTAGAGACACACATGTGGCACAGCAGTGAAACACAGGAAGGAGTTGTGAGACCCAGTGAGATACAGCAGAAAAGTGAACCAGTGACATGGCAGAGTGCTGAATAGTAGAAAAGGTGGACACATGGATGAGGTGGCATGTAGTAGAAAAAGAACGGACACAGCATGCAGACCCACAGGCATGGAGACACTGATCACAGTGACATCCAAGGACTGACACAGAGGCACATTGACACGGCACAGTGGACATAATGACACACAGAAGGACTACATTGAATGCACACAGGCACAGTGGATCATCCAGAATCACACAAAAAAGAGGCACATGGATCACATTGAAGGCACAGCACAGTATTGATGTGGTGGTCCATAGAGACACAGAGGCACAGGACACATATCCATGACTGAGACACTGATGCACTGCATAGGCTGCACAGTGGACTGACACACAGACCCACGAACACAAAGACAAGCAGGTGGCAGAGCACAGTGGACACAGACACACAGTGGACACAGAGGCAATGAACCCACACAGTGAGACAGACGACACATGTGGCATGAGCACAGTGGCCACACAGGAACCACTGAGGTGGCTGGAGACACAGGAAAGTGGTGGACACATGGCAGAGTGAGGCTGGAAAGCATGGATGGTGGTGTAGACAGTATAAGGACCAGTGGTATAAAATATTGATGTGGAAAATAGATGCACAGCATGGAAACATGGATATGGATTAAATATGGAAAGAATGGATAAAGAATATAATGAATATGGAATAATGGATAGGCTTGGAAATGACAAGAGATGTAATGGATGAAAATATGGATGGAAATGGAAATATTTGGACTTGAATGGAATGGAGGAATTGATATTTGAAGGATGGATATGAAATAGGAAATGGTAGAGGAATATAGTTTTAATGGAAGGAATGATGGAGGAAAATAGACGGAAAGAATGAAAGGATGGAATGGATGGAATGGAAAGAAGGAATGAAGGGAAGGAAAGTGGAATGATGGAATGGAGAAGAAATGGACACGGATATTACAGGGCTCGATTTAGTGTTTTGTTACTTGCACTGGTGCAACCCAATATTACAAAGTGCAAACTAGTTATGAGTCTTACTTGCACAAGGGGCAAATCAACTTTTGAGAAAGAAACCAACAATAAATCTAACATTATAATCATATATATATGTCAGCCTATTTGTCTTCTAAACTTTGAATAGCTATGGCACTGAAATAATGCTATTCATATACACGTTTCGGCTGTTACAGCTCTTGTAAACAGGGATCAGGTGTATATGGAAATATGTTTATGTGCACCGAAACCTCTGACGTTTTAACACACTACGTTGCAACTGGAATTTGGCAAGTGCAATTAGGTTTTTATCTTAGGTTGGACCTGGTGCAAGTAGGTTAACCTCTCATAAATCGAGCCCTGTATTAATTGTGTGGTGTATCACGCATGCTCTGTTATTACTATTTGTGACATGCTATATATGTCAAGATGTTTGTGTTGCTTGTTTAAACAACAGGTTATACGTTTGTCATTTTTCACTTAGTTTGCCATGATCCATGATAGTGTATCAAATGGATGAGACATATTAATTGTGTGGTGTATCACGCATGCTCTGTTATTACTATTTGTGACATACTATATATGTCAAGATGTTTGTCTATTATCACATTATGTTGTATTGCTTGTTTAAACAACAGGTTATACGTTTGTCATTTTGTACTTAGTTTGCCATGACTGTGTATTATATGGATGAGACATATTTGGTGTGTGGTGTACTACTATTGGTGAAGTATTATAGATGATTATACATGTATGTCTATTTTCACATGATGTGAATACAATAGTCTTGTGTGCAGGTGACATTCTGTTTCAGTAACATAACATAATATTGATATGAATCGTGCCCATAGCATATCATGGGGTCATAGTGTAAATATTAGATAATATATAAAATTTATAAAAATGTTTCGTTTTCTTTTTGTTTGTTTGTATGAGTGAATGTTCTTAAATGCCCCACAATAATATTCCAAGCATCTGGACAAGACAAACCAGTAATTGAAAGTTGAGTGAGTGGGCATGTGTTTGATGCTGCATTCTGCAGTATTACAGATGTACGACGCGGTCTGTAAACAATTGAGTCTGGTGCAGACAATCCAGTGATTGACACTGTGAAATACAATGACTAAGCATGTGTTTATGAATCACTATCAAACGGAAATGATGCCGAGTGTTTGAGAAAAGGTGAACATATCAATCATAAACATATGCATAGGCTCGTCAACTGTTGGAGTCAGTGAGTGGGGTCGGTGGTGCGTGCGTGAGTGAGTGCGTATGAGAGTGTCGTAGGTCACATCGCCAGTATGTCAGCCATATCATGACTATGAAAGTTGTAAATTTGTAAATCTAAAAATGAACAAAAACAAACTTAGTCAATGTACTTACCTGTCTGCAAAGAACAGTAAAATGACTTACTAAGTATCACAGATTTGCACTTAAAAGTAGCATCATAATAACCATAAAACACAATTTCTATCTGTAACAATACAATATAAAAAATGGGCTACAGGCTGCCAACAACTGAAGGTAGATCACTATGAGTACTTACAGTACTTTTGCTACCTTCATGGATCCTACCTGGATTTACATCATTCCTTCAGCTGGACCAATCTAGCCTTTAATATAAACGAACATATATACTACGATTAAATATGTGGTCAGATTAAATATACTTTGAAAGACATGGTATTACAGTCCCTCTCAGTCGGGCAATAATAAGTCTGTTCACCTAAAATAATTTAGATGGACTGAGGAAGCCCACCCCTATTCCAAATCCTACAGCTACATCATTCCAATTTCACACAAATACAACATATCCTGAAATCTGAGTGAATTAGGGGCAGTGGGGTAGTCTAGTGGTTAAAGCATTCGCTTTCCACACCGAAATTCTGGGTTTGACTGCCCACATAGGTAAAGTTGTGAAGCCTATTTCCGGTGCTGGATACTGCTGGAATACTGCTGAATCAGCGTAAACTCACACACTCTGAGTGAATTATGTTCAAGCATTTTTAACTATCAAAAATAACTAACAGTATTACACATTAGTGTTGGGAATCGGAAACCAAATCCACTATCGATTATCGGAGGAATTGTGGTGAACGATTATCGATTATAATCGAAATATATACATTTTTAATGTAATCATCAATTTTAAGGGTTTTTCCCTAGGTTTTTTTTCTAATTAATGTTTTTTTATAACTAATACTGTCATACAATGAAATGCACGCATGCAAGTAAGACACTGGAATTGTAATTAAACAATAAAAGTGGTTAAAATGTTAAAATGCACATAGCTTTACGCTGTTGAGCACATGTTTGTTCGTGAATATTCATCAAATTAAATGTTTAGTATACTTAATTCAAGGGTGTTATACAAAAACAACAAAATCCTGATTAATTGAAATTTTTTTTTATTACAATCGATAATCATTTTTAATCCTTCTTTCGATCGATTTTCGATTTTTTTTTATCATCGGAACACAACTATTACACATCACTGATCAGCTGTTGTCACGAGAGACTCATGCAAACCACCTGTAATAATTTGTTGAAATGTTTTCATATACAATGTTTAACAATACACAATGCATAAAATATAATAAACTCACCAAGTGTGTGGTCCTGGGTATAATCAGTATAGACACCGACACCTGCACGAGCAATACACCTACATCTGCACGAATAAATAAACATATATGGGTCATTCTACCAGATTTGGAAATTTAGCGTCCTCAAGTTAAATTCATCATTTAAACACTTTCACCATCCTGATAAAAATTGTTTACCTTTAATTGTTAAATGAATTAATGCAGATAAATAGTCCTTTGGAATAATACAATTTCAATGTCAAAATAATTTTTTAGAATAATTTACATGTTCATGGTCACCTAAAAATGTTGTGTCCAAAACTGCCAATCTCAACTTTCACATGTGATCACACTAATAATGTTTCTCTTTACTTAAAAATATTCACCAAATATATCATTTACAACATTTAAAGTATTGCATAGCAATAAACAATGTCTTAATTATTAGTTGCACTAATATTTTAATGATAATATTAAATGTGTCCCCAAATGTTATGCCATGACCACGTGCACAAAGGTGATTCATCGCCATCAATAGTGAAAGGAAGGTAACTCTAATTGATCTGGTCATATGAGACTTCCAGCGGCGACAAACATGGATACCATGTGGGCTGGCATTGCTTGTTTGTGAACTTTTTGAGAAATTTATAAACAATTATGTGCTGTTTAAAAATGTTGGAGTATGTTTATTCATTGTCAACTTTGGAGTCAACTTTGTGTGCAGACTCGTTCAGTGTTGTCACAACCCCTAATGTACAGTACACAACCCTGTGCATTTAAAAGAACCCACGAATCCGTTGGTAAATGACCAGATGGTGGCCACGTGAATGCATGCAAATACCTAGTTATGGGTACAGCAACGTGCAGTAAACTTGGACAAAGTACTGTGACTAAGTGTCACGGTTCACCCAGCTGTGAATGGGTACCTCGTAAAGCCAACTCGGTGAGAAAGGTAACTCGGTGCGCCTAGTGGCTGCAAGAGTTGTATGATCCCCAGGGAGTTGAGACTGATAATACGATGTGCCGTTTAGATTGACATCCAGTGATCGAGGGAAAAACAAATCGCCTTTGAGCAACTGAGCTGGATATCGGTGTTATACAAATGTTAGTTTAATAATAATAATTGTCATTACCATACATCCCACACTGATTATGCATTATAAACGGTTTTAAAGAAATGATACTTTTTGAGATATTTAGGTGGAAAGTTGTGAAATTTGATGAGATTAATCATTCTTGTTTTTTATGGAACCTGTAACCATATTTAGAACAAAATGTCATTACCACCATGGTCATTACCCATCAAAAACTGTCATTGTGGTGATGACATGTGTCATTACCACACATGTGATAACACTGGTAATCACATATAGAATACAACAAATGATACATTGTTAAGTCTTAAATGATACAAAGTATCTTGTAGTAAAATGCTAGGAAATAGAGAACATGACTGCATAGCAAATATTTAGAAAATGCAACATGATGTGATTACCCCAACAGTCATTACCGCAACGCTCCAAACATCAAAATCTTTACATTTTGTCACACAATGGTTTTCAGGTTGCTTGAATTAAAAACATAATAAAAATATTAAGAAGCATAACATAAAATATTTGATTTATTTAAAACTAAAGAATAAAAACTCTCAATACATACAAACATTTCATCCTTGACGTCACATTCATCTTTGTAACAAAATAAACACCAGACATACAACATATCTCTGAAGATACTGTCTTTCTCTTCCATCTGAAAAGTTTGCTGTTTTGACAAATAGTGGTCAAGAGAAATAGGCAGGCATAGACGAATTGCCTATTCCAAATTGCCACCTGGTGCAAAAATGGAATCGTTAACTTGATGAGACAGTTCGTTAATTCAATCCGTTAGCCAACAGCAGCTGCTATTAAATCATGAACCGTTTCAGTTTTATATGTGCTAGTTAAAAATTGCTTGTTTATATTCTTGCAGACTGGTACCCAACCATTTACCGTGCGGTACTAGTGCGACGAAGAGCGCAAGCAGTTTAGGTCAGACAAACCAGTGTAATGGTTTTTTATCGTGTTCCGTATCAATGTGAAATCCATCTTTTTATAATCCGAACAAGATGGCGGACGAAGTAAGTTCTGATGATAGGTCAGGTGATTTTTCGCTGATATTATGATAAAGAGGAACTAAATCGACCAGTCAAAGATTATCCGTCACTGTTCGGAAAGTGTATACATCTGGTCCGTAATTACCTATGCCTGTTTCATTCTGGTAACTTTTAAAGCAGCAAATTATTAGTGGTGATATTAAACACGTGCCAGTGTGCTCTTTAGAACCGTATTTGGTTTTGGTGCAAGCGTCAGTCAGCGCAAAGTGAAGCTATTACTTACCGAAAAACAAACTAGAAGAAACACTAACTGCATGCGATATGGAGAGATATATCACACTTAATGACACAACCCACCCCATCAACATTGCATACTGCACAACGAGGAGCGAATAAAGGGAGACAATCTTGAGACTCAAAATTACTCCCCTTTGTAATAAGCACGATGTCTTACCTTCATGTAAACTTCCATATATGTTATTGAGTTTATCGGTTTTCTTTTATTATATATAAATATATTATATAGACCCTGGGCCCATTCGCCATCCTGTATGATACAATGTAATTGACCATCAAATGCATAACTATTGTCTTGTGTTTACATAACAACATCGTATGGACAAAGCTATTACTACTATGTACATGACATGTATGTACATACTACTATGTACATACTACAGTGATGTAGAAAATGTTTATTCAGCTTATTGTTGATTAGTCCAGCATATAACTAGACGACTTTGAACTATACCAAGGTGTGCTCGATGTAGGCCTTGGCTGGAATACGAGTTTATTCATATGAACTAATTGTTGATGTATGAATTATTCCTCTTTATAATATGTTCTCCTCTTGTATGACATCTACATTATATATACAGTATGCAGAAGTAAAGCTTTTCAAACTTATTTCATAATGATCAATAAGTGACAGAGAAAACTGTCTGCTCAAACTCTTAGCCGATAGCATTTCATCATGTATAATTTACCATAATGTTACCACATATCATGCCAAACCGTACCTTCTTCCTTTGTAACACATGATGTAACATGTGATTTATACATAATCATTGATTTGGCATTTTAATAAGGATCTCTGTGTTGATGAGCCTGTGGGTTTGTTTCGACTTCTAATAATACTTAAGTGACTAGTATACACAATATCGGTACGAGGCCAGGCTTATCATGGCCTTATTTTTTTAATTTAAGGCCTTGGGAGGACCTGGCCTCGTACCGCTATTGTGTATACTAAAGTGTCTGAGCATGAAATCAGGGATCCAGGGGCAAGCACTCTGATAAACACTTTTCACATCTAGTATCTACAGGATGGAATGGTGCAGACGACACTTGACTTAAAACTATATCTATATGTTGTTGTGAAAGCACTGCACATTGTCCTTAAAACTTGAACTAGTACCAAACATGCCAACAAAAAATGTTTAACTGAGAGCTGAATGTTCATTCCAGGATTGTGAAGCACCCAAACAGATAGAGCTGGAAGACCTGACTGTCACAGTAGACTTTCATCCATCGAAAGACATCATCGCTGTTGGCTGCATTGATGGTGAAGTTTCAATGTATGCACCAGCCATTGTCAAAAACAAAATGTAGAAACTAGTTCCATCATTCTGTCATAGATAAATCTAAGGAGGATTCTGGGGCATACTAAGGATCCTGTGTTTGTTGTGAGAGTGACTAAAATGAGGACTGGGTGGTTACTACATGTGACTCAGGCAGTGCTCTATGAATTGCCGCTCTGCCGGTCTTGACATTAAAACACTTAACACCAGTATTTCTAATAACCTTTACAGTAACCAGTCAGAAACATAACGTACGCGAGACGTGAGTGAATGTTAGTGAGTTAAGCTTTGCGCTGCACTGAGCCGTATTCCAGCTGTGTGGTGGTGGTGGTCTGTAAATAATCGAGTCTGTACCAGACAATCCAATGTACAACAGCATGAATATCGATCTACGCATTTGGGAGACAATTACATGGGTCAACCAAGTCAGCGACACTGACTACCTGATTCCGTTAATGGCCTCTTATGACAAGCATGGGTCAAGCAGGCTGATTTTTTTATGAAGGTTTTCTATACCATTAAAAAAACGTAGGGGATATTCCAGTTTGCAAGCATACCACTAGTTAATGCCAATGCATATGAGAAAAAGTAATATATACTAGGCACATAAAGAAACTGTGCATTGTCAAAATATTATCCCAGTTGATAAGTACGATAACAATGTCAAAGGTACATATAAACTGTAATGGAGGGATCATGAGACCATAACAAGTCGGGAGAATTTCAACTGAAAAGTCAATCACAATGATGTCACGAGTCCACAAGCGGGACAGGGGTCAAACGACCATGTCACAAGCTCAATAACGGGTATGTCCACCATTGGCATTGAGAACAGAAGTGCATCGACGACGCATAGAGCCTATCAAACGTGCAAGGAAGGCTTGTGGGATGTCACGCCAGATTCTCTCAAGTTCTGTTGCAAGGTCAAGGACGTTATCTGGCGGATGAGGAAGACGGTGTAGACGTCAATCCATCTTGTCCCAAACATGTTCTATCGGTTAGAGATCCGGTGAATTTGCAGGCCAAGGCAGTAAGTCAACGTTGTTGTGTTGCAAGAAATCCATAGCAACCCTTGCCGTATGAGGGCGGGCATTGTCCTGTTGGAATGTTAACCCAGGGCCATGACGTTGCAGAAAAGGAATCGCCACAGGTCGAAGAATCTGATCCCTGTAACCCACACCAGTTAAGTTGCCCTGAACAATCACCAAAGGAGTTCTTTGGGGTGCTGTATGTTATTCCACCCCAAATCATCACGGTACCACCACCAAAGCGATTCCTCTCCAAGACACAGGCCTGTGCATAATGTTCTCCCATGCGTCTATAGGCACGTTGACGTCCATCACTATGGGAAATGTTAAACCTGGACTCATCTGTAAAAACAACATTTCTCCACCAAAACAAGGGTTTGCGGACATGATTTCGGCACCACATTCGGCGAGCTTGTCAATGACATTGTGTCAGGATAGGCCGTATGGCGGGACGTCGTGGTCCGATCCCATGATGACGTAAATGTTGTCGAACTGTGTTGGGGTGGATACGGCGAAGTCCTGGGATGGTCTGGGCTGTCATCACTGCAGTCTGAAACCTGTGGCGAAGATTGGTCACCCTCAGCCATCTGTCCTGTCTTGGCATTGTTACACGTGGACGTCCAGAACGTGGCCGATCGATGACGTCATTTGTGTTCTGGTAGTGTCTCACCAGTGCAGAAATGGTGTTCCGATGGCAGTGGAAATGTGCAGCCACTTGTCGTTGAGACATTCCCCCACAGACCATCCCAATGGCCTCATGACGTTGTGCAGACGTGAGCCTTGGCATGCTATGCGTTTATTAGCCGTTTAATTTTTTGAACGATCGCAAGGGCAGGGGTTGAGCTTTCCAAAGTGACAGTATTGTGTGGCATTCATTTGCTCTGTTTCTCTTTCCCGGACTGCACGTGCAACAACATCTTGCACGTCTCAAGGACGAAACCACTGACATCACGGAACGTGGCATGTGCATGCATGTTGGATACATATCACTAATCTCTGAGTTTAAATCCTTATGTGTCTACATAGGTTTGATAAATTTAGATTTAAAATTTTTGTATGCACAGTTTCTTTATGTGCCTAGTATATATCCATACTTATGAAACATTTCCAAAGGAATGGAATAAATTGTCACATTTTCCATTAATTTCTCTTCATCATCTGTTTCCTCCTTGGCTTCATCATTTGCATTTTATTAGTCTTGTAAATCCAATATCCCCTACTTTTGTTTAATGGTATAATATTGAATCATGAATGCGAGCAAAGACCAAGCTTCTATTTCCCAAATGGGTACAATGTGTGAAGACCATTTCTGGTGTCCCCTGATGTGATATTGCTGGAATATTGCTGAAACAAAAGTGACTTAAACCTAAACTCACTAACTCTTTTCAGTCATTCCTATTCAACAAAGGAGTCTAACAAGCTGCTGAAGAAATTGTGTCACCACAAGAATGCCTGCCGATGCATCAAGTTCTCTCCAAGTGGAGACCGCCTACACACAGTGTCGAAGGACAAGTCGTTATGGAGCATTGACACAGAAACAGGCAAAGTCAAGAAAAAAAATCAAGAAAGCTCACGAGTAAGAGGGAGAGGTTTATTGGACATTTAACTTGTTAATGTGAGATTTTAAAGCTTTTACTTGAATTAAGTTGTCAATGGGTTTTATGTCATTTAAAGTAAAGTTTTCTGTGCTATAAACATGGTTATCACATGCTGTTGCTGGTAGACTTCACCTGAGGAGTAACCATCTAATACCTCCATCAACTGAGGCTTCCCTCCAACAGGCCTGACATGCCTTGATGTAACTGAATTTAAGGTGGAGAAGCTTGAAACACAAATCACTAGCTCTCTTGCTCTCTCGCTTGCTCTTTCACACACGCACGCACGCACACGCACACACACAAACAAATACACACGAACAAACACACACACACACTCACTCCACTCTCACTCTCACTCACTCACTCACTCACTCACTCACCACCGGTCTGCGGTAGGTCATGAGTTCAGACCCCACCTCAATCACCTACCAAAAAGACGCAAAATATGGTACTTGTTGGTCCCTGCCTGGCACTCGGCATTAATGTGGTACATCAAGGACTGGTCAGCTCTCAGTCAGTATAATGTGTCTGAGTGGGGTATTCATGCTTCACTCACACTGCATCTCAGTGGGCTAGCACTATAAAACCACTCACAGTCTGGCACTAGTACAAGCAGCCGTGACATACACATACACACGCATGCACGTCACTCCATATGAGCTCCATATTCTCAAGCACTGACACTAAACCCACTCAAACCAAACCACTCCACTCACTCCACGCTCACTCCACTCTCACCCACTCTCTACTCCACTCTCACTCCACTCTCACTCTCACTCACTCACTCACTCACTCCACTCTCACTCCCACGCCACTCTCACTCCACTCTCACTCACTCACTCACTCACTCACCTAATTTCACGCACTCCACTCTCACTCTCACTCTCACTCACTACACTCTCCCACTCTCACTCTCACTCACTCACTCACTCACTCACTCACTCCACTACTCCACTCACTTCACTCTCACTCACTCACTCACTCACTCCACTCTCACTCCTAATGCCTCACTCCACTCTCACTCACTCACTCACTCACTCACTCCACGCCACTCCACACTCACTCTCTCTCTCACTCTCTCACTCACTCACTCACTCCACTCTCACTCCACTCTCACTCTCACCTCACTCACCCACGCCACTCACTCCACTCACTCTCACACACACTCTCTCACTCACTCACTCACTCACGCCACTCCACACTCACCACTCTCACTCACTCACTCACCACTCCACGCCAGTCCACTCTCACCCACTCTCACTCTCACTCTCACTCTCACTCACTCACTCACTCACCCACTTCACTCACTCACTCACTCACTCTCACTCACTCCACTCGTGGCACCTCACTCTCACTCACTCACCTCACCCACGCCACTCCACTCTCACTCTCACTCCATTCCTCACTCCACCTCACTCTCACCCTCACTCACTCACTCCACTCCACCCACTCCACTCTCACCCTCACCCTCACCTCGGGCCTCACCCACTCACTCACACGCCACTCCACACTCTCACCTCGCACCTCCACTCTCACTCACTCACACCGTCACTCCACTCTCACCTCACTCCACACTCTCACTCTCACCACTCACCTCACCACTCCACCTCACTCACTCACTCACCCACCACCCACTCACTCACTCACCTCACTCACCCACCTCACTCACACCACCTCACTCTCACCTCACACCACTCCACTCACACTCACCCACCCACTCACCTCACCTCACTCACTCACCTCACCTCACCTCACCCACCCCACTCACTCACCTCACCTCACACTCTCACCTCACCTCACCCACCTCTCACCCACCTCACCACCCACCCACACCTCACTCCACTCTCACACCTCACCTCACTCACTCCACCCACTCTCACTCTCACTCCTCACTCCACTCACCTCACCTCACTCCACTCTCACTCTCACTCACTCACACTCCACCTCACACCTCACTCTCACTCCACCTCATCTCATCACTCATATAACTCTGATGAACATACTTTATGTTCCCAGAAGTCCCCAAGTCAGTGACATTTTTGCAATTGTTTTTAGTCACCAGACATTTCATATGAACTTTGGGGTAGCCTAGTGGTTACAGCTCTCACATGGTCTCGGTTCGAGCCCCCACATGGTCACAATGTGTTAAGCCCATTTCTGCCCCCAACAAGATTGGAATATTGCTAGAAGCTAGTGAAAACTAAACCAGTCAGTCAGTTTCCATATGAACCACTTTTATCGCCATTCTTGTGAAATGTGTGTCTTTAGTTGAATCAAGTTTATGGGTCAGTGCTTGTAATTTCAGAGCCCTCACCTACAGTCTAGTTACAACTGATGAGAACTTTATCGCTGACCGGAGATGATGATGGAACAATCAAGGTAGGAGAACCCTCGCCCTGGGGGTCAAGAAAGAGGATAGAGAGGAAAAAGTTTTTCTTGTGTTTAGGATGATCATGATCATCGGGATTCCTTGCTGTATTGAAAACAAAAAAGTTAATGAGAAATACATTTTCCTTGAAATTCTACTTCTTGTGAACACGCCATTGGTATTTTCACATTTTGGCATATTTTCACATATTTAGAAGGGTATTTCTGAGGAGGCTTCTCAAACATGTAGATAATATGTAAGAGATATTTCCAGTCCAGCAAAGATAGTGCTTTGTTTAAGCCTCAAATACATCTTTTGACTGGAATGTTGACATATTTACAAGGTATATCCATAAAACAGTTTGCCTGGTCTCACCATAAAAGACTGAAGACTATGACAATAATGTGCAGATGAATTATTAGGTAGCATATTGGTTATGGAATTATTGCTCATTATGAACTGAATGTTTCTGTTAGAGTGTGCCTCCTAAGAAGATTTGGTTCATCAGTAGCTGTGGCCTTGCAGTTTTGATCTGCCTAATCAGCCTGGCTCATTCCGGTTTCTGTTTGATGTTAAACAGTTTCAGATTGAAGAGTGCAATTTGATATGGATTTGTACTCAGCATTTTGCTATGGTGTTGAATGGTTCAGGGTGTTTATCATTATAGAATGGATTTATCATCCCAAAGTGTTCCACGGGAGATATTACTTGTGTGAGATCAAACAATATCTCCTAAGAGATATCATTTTGACAGTAGATTTTGTACAATGCCCTGACAATGCTATGACGTCATGAACGTGATGACGTCACAATGCTATGACATAGCTGCACTGCAAGTCTAATGGTAATGGTGTTCAGATATTTACATTTTTCATTGAAAAGTAATGAGTGATTTTTGATGATAAATAGAATCTCACCCTCGTGTCTACTGATATCAATTATATCAACACTCGTTGATAGTAAAAATATCCTTGGCAAACCTCGGATACCACTTTGGTGAGATCCTCTGTATTATTATACACAGGAATATTAAGGATGGTGGCATTAGGATCCTGATTATTTGACTGCATGTTCCAGGTTTGGGACATGAGGACGAAGACATGCACGTACGAGGTGAAGGAAAATGATGATTTCATCAGTGACATGATCATAGATGACCAGAGGAAGATTCTTCTTGGCCACCAGGTACCCATGGGTTCTATCGGGGACCAATCAAGATTGGGGTTAGAATCGATCTTCAGTAACCCATGCTTGACTTTTAAAAGGCTTAATTAACGGATCGTGGTGGTCAGACTCACTGACTTGGTTGACACATGTCATCGGGTTCCCAATTTCTCGCAGAATGAGATCGATGCATATGCTGTTGATCACTGGATTGTCTGTTCCAGACTCAATTATTTACAGACCGGCCGCCATATAGCTGAAATATTGCTGAGTGCGGCGTAAAACTAAACAAACTCACTCACTTGTGTCTAATGCGTCTCTCTCTTTATTGCCGCTGTGATGTTGCTGGAATATTGCTAAAAACGGCGTAAAACCATACTCACTCACTCGCTCTCTTTATTTCAGTGGCGATGGTACATTATCAGCGTTCAACATCCGTAGGAAGAGAATGGATCTGCAATCGGAACTGTTTGATTCAGAGTTTCTTAGTTTGGCAGCAATGAAGGTACATTCACGGATATTTTGATTGTATACTTTCCTCTGAGAGGATAATGAAATTTTAGAGCACACTGATCCACTGACTGGGGTAGCACTTCTAACATGCTTCAGCAGGGTATCAACCTGTGAAGTTCTGGGTCAGAATTGGTCGGCAGCAACCTAAGCTGGTCGTAACGGGCGACTAAAGCGATTAGGTGGTGAGACTCACTTACTTGGTTGACACATAACATGATTGCATCACAAATGTGTAGATCGATACTAATTATGTTAATCACTTGATTGTTTGGTCCAAACGCAATTATTTACTGACCACTGCCATATAGCTGGAATATTGCTGAGTGCGGCGTTAAACAATATACCAACCAACCGTACAAAGGAATTTCCGGAAATATGAATCATGTTTCTAAATCAACTTCCTAAATTCCTCTGAATGTACTAGGTGCAGTCAATATGATATCCCAAATTCTGGTGAACAAACAGCCAATCACGAACTTGCTCACTAATATGAACTTTGCAATTCCTTATTGCTGGAGATAATGAGCAACCATTTGAATTATACTTTGTTCAGCTAGGAATTATTTTACAAACATTGAACTTTGTGGTGTTCCTGTTTCAGGGGGAGAAGAAGGTGGTGTCGCGGTACCGGGAGGGGGGTCCTGAATGTCTTCAACTGGGGAGTGGGGAAACATCAGTGACCGTTCCCCGACATCCCATGTCTGTTGATTGTATGGTACCCATCACCAGGGATGTTGTGTACTGGGTCTATAGATGGCATTATCAGGTACAGTATATCATATATTGGTGTGTACTGGGTCTATAGACGGCATTATCAGGTACAGTATATCATATATCGTGTACTGGGTCTATAGATGGCATTATCAGGTATGGTATATCATATATCGTGATACTGGTTCTATAGATGGCATTATCAGGTACAGTATATCATATATCGTGGTACTGGTTCTATAGATGGCATTATCAGGTACAGTATATCATATATCGTGGTACTGGTTCTATAGATGGCATTATCAGGCACGGTATATCATATATAGTGTACTGGTTCTAAAGATGGCATTATCAGGTACAGTATATCATATATCGTGGTACCTGGTTCTATAGATGGCATTATCAGGTACAGTATATCATATATCATTTGCACTGGGTCTATATAGACGGTTATCAGGTACGGTATATCTTATATTATTGTGTGTACTGGGTCTATAGCTGGCATTATCAGGTACAGTATATATGATGTTGTGTGTACTGTGTCAATAGCTGGCATTATCAGGTACAGTATTTCATATATTGTGTGTAACTGGTTCTATAGATGGCATTATCAGGTATTGATATATTGTACCTGATAATGCTGTCTATAGACCCAGTACAAATGATATATGATATACTGTAAGTCATAATGCCGTCTATAGAACCAGTACACACAATATATGATATACTGTACCTGATAATGCCAGCTATAGCCAGTACATATGATATATGATATACTGATATCATTTGTACTGGGTCTATAGACGGCATTATCAGGTACAGTTTATCATATATTGTACATGTCTATAGATGACGTTATCAGGTACTGTATATCATGTGTACATGTTCTATAGAAGGCATTATCAGGTACTGTATATTGTGTTCTGGTTCTATAGACTGCATTATCAGGTACAGTACTCTCAACTTAATATAGTAAATTATGTTCATAATGAACACAGTTCTAATAAACTGACAGATGTTGGTCATGCCACTTGCTGTATATTATATTGAGGATGTGTATAGCAAGCTATGGGTATACCCTACTATAATTAGTGGTTTCTTTAAGTTCGGGGCCATAGTTTACTTTACCGATAAACAATGTTTTAAAACACCTGTGGTTTAAACCAGGGAGACTATATAACACTGTTGTAGATTATCCCTGTTTAAACCAACAGTATTTTCAGTTATTTTCATCTTACAATTATACTCGTTAAGCTAGCCTTGTAAGTAAAATGCTCAAAAAATTCGAAACATTTCTCACCCCCAGGGCGGTGAACATTCTGCCAAATCGCTTTGTGGGTGTTGTCGGGGAGCATGAGAATTTTCCCGTGGAAGGGTTGTGCCTGTCACACGACAAAACCCTGCTTGCTAGCTGCTCACATGACCAGAAGGTCAAGTTCTGGAACATTGAAGGACTTGAAAATATCAAGTTTAACGAGAGGAAGAAGGCAAAGAAATCCAACAAGAATAAACGCCTAAATTCATCTAAACAGGACAATTTTTTCTCTGGTTTGGTTGATGATGATAAAAAAGACAATGTTGGTGATAGTGACACTGATGATGATGATGATGACAGTGATGATGAGGGGGAGGAAGAGGATAGTGATTGATTAAACTGTTTTTTAATTATGTATGTTGTTTGTTCTATGTTGCGATGTGTTTTCACTAACAAAGGCAGATTGATAGCCTAGTTCAAACAGTCCTTTGTCCTTTGATAGTATGAATTCCATTTCTGGTTTACACTCCCATGATGTAGCAGGAATATTGCTGAAGCGGAGTAAGACTCTCTCCAAAAATAGAGGATACTAAATGACCTGTGTATATCTAATGCCATTTTTATTAAACAAGTTAATGATTTGGTATGAAACGAGAGAAAGGGAGTTTGATACTAAATCTTTCATGATTTCTATAAAATGGTATTTCACGGAAACAAGTTTAGTATTCTGTTTATTACTCTCCAACATAAATTGATAGAAACTGTAATGACTCTCAGCTTTCTACGAGTCAAACAAGGTCTTATACTACTGTGACAGAGGTATTAGCATTGTGACGTCATAACTGTAAACCACTATGACATCATACGTACGTCATCACGCGATGTTATTACACAATGTGTAATAACAATGTAAAATAAACTGATATCTTCAACGGGTGAGTAATAAATAGAGAATACTAAACGATGTCCCATGTAATACCATATTTATGAAACAGGTGAATGGTTTGGTATCTAACGAGCGAAAGGGTAAAGTTATCAATGATCATCGCTATTGACGCGTTAATGATGGTCATCGCTTTGCGAAGTTATCAATGGTCATCGCTTGGGTGACGCTTAATGATGGTCATCGCTATGACGCTGATGTTAATGATTATCATCGCTGGTTGACATTAATGATGGTCATCATTGATGTTGACGATTAGTGATGGTCATCGCATTTGTTTGACATTAATGATGGTCATCGTTGTGAGATTATTAATCATTTATCATCGTTGGGTAAAGTTACCAATAGACATCGTTGGGTGATGTTATCAATGGTTATCGTTGGTTGACGTTAATGATGGTCATCGTTAGTTGGCTTTAATGATGGTCATCGTTGGTTGACGTTTAATGATGGTCATCGTTGGTTGACGTTAATGATGGTCATAGTTGGGTGACGTTAATGATGGTCATCGTTAGTTCACATTAATGATGGTCATCGCTGGTTGACGTTTATGATGGTTTTGTTGGTTGACGTTAATGATGGTCACAGTTGGGCAAAGTAATCAATGGTCATCGTTGGTTGACGTTAATGATGGTCATCAGTGGGTAAGATATCAATGGTCATCGTTGAGTGACATTAATGATGGTCATCGTGGGTTGACATTAATGATGGTCATCAGCGGGTAAGATACCAATGGAAATCGTTATGACATTAATGATGGTCATCGCTAAAGTGACATTAATGATGGTCATCGCTGGTTGACATTAACGATGGTCATCAGTGGGTAAGATATCAATGGTCATCGCTGATGATTGACATTAATGATGGTCATCGAGGGTTGACATTAATGATGGTCATCAGTGGGTAAGATACCAATGGAAATCGTTGCTAGTGACATTAATGATGGTCATCGCTGGTTGATGTTAACGATGGTCATAGTTGGTTGTACTCGTTATCAATGGTCATCGTTGGTTGATGTTAATGATGGTCATCATTATTGAAGTTAATGATGACCATCGTTGCGCCATCACTCACCCTCACTCATCTCATCACCATATAACTTTTGACCTCACATACTTTTTATGTTCCCAGTCCCCAAGTCAGTGACATTTTGCACTTGTTTTAGTCTCCAGACATTTCATATGAACCAAGGTGGGGTAGCCTAGTCATTAAAGCTGGCTCAACAAGGTCTGGGGTTCGAGCCCCCACATGGGCACAATGTGTTAAGCCCATTTCTGGTGTCCCCCCACAAGGATATTGCTGGAATATTGCTAGAAGCTATGAAAATCCTAAACCCAGTCATTCAGCTCTATATGAACCAATTTTTATCGAGCATTCTTGTGAAATGTGTGTCTTTAGTTGAATCAAGTTTATGGGTCAGGTGCTTGTAATTTCAGGAGCCTCGGATCTACAGTCTAGTTACAACTGATGAGAACTTTCTAATCGGAGATGATGATGGAACAATCAAAGGTAGGAGAACCTCGATCCTGGGGTCAAAGAAAGGGATAGAGAGGAAAAAGTTTTTTCAGTGTTTAGGATGATCATGATCATCGTGATTCCTTGCCGTATTGAAAAACAAAAGGATTAACGAGAAATACATTTTCCTTGAAATTCTACTTCTTGTGAACACATTTTCATTGGTATTTTCTACATTTTGGCATATTTTCACATATTTAGAAGGGTATTTCTTGAGGTTTCAAACATGTAGATAATATGTAAGAGATATTTCCAGTCCAGCAAAGATAGTGCTTTGTTTAAAGCTCTCAAATACATCTTTTGACTGGAATGTTGACATATTTACATGGTATATCCATAAAACAGTTTGCCTCGGTCTCACCCATAAAAAGACTGAAGGCGAGACAATGAATGTGCAGATGAATTATTAGGGGTAGCATATTTGGTTATGGAATTATTGCTCATCATGAACTGAATGTTTCTGTTAGAGTGTGCCTCCTAAGAAGATTTGGTTCATCATGTAGCTAGTGTCTAATGTGCAGTTTTGATCTGCCTACTGAGCCTAAGCTCATTCCGGTTTTCTTTTGATGTTAAACCGGTTTCAGATTGAAGAGTGCAATTTGATATGGATTTTGTAGTCAGCATTTTGCTATGGTGTTGAATGGTTCAGGGTGTTTATCATTATAGAATGGATTTATCATCCCAAAGTGTTCCACAGGAGATATTGCTTGTGTGAGATCAAACAATATCTCCTAAGAGATATCATTTTGACAGTAGATTTTGTACAATGCCCTGACAATGCTATGACGTCATGAACGTGATGACGTCACAATGCTATGACAAAGCTGCACTGCAAGTCTAATGGTAATGGTGTTCAGATATTTACATTTTTCATTGAAAAGTAATGAGTGATTTTTGATGATAAATAGAATCTCACCCTCGTGTCTACTGATATCAATTATATCAACACTCGTTGATAGTAAAAATATCCTTGGCAAACCTCGGATACCACTTTGGTGAGATCCTCTGTATTATTATACACAGGAATATTAAGGATGGTGGCATTAGGATCCTGATTATTTGACTGCATGTTCTAGGTTTGGGACATGAGGACCGAAGACATGCGCATTTAGGTGAAGGAAAATGATGATTTCATCAGTGACATGATCATAGATGACCAGAGGAAGATTCTTCTGGCCACCAGGTACCCATGGGTTCTATCGGGGGACCAATCAAGATTGGGGTTAGAATCGATCTTCAGTAACCCATGCTTGACTTAAAGGCTAATTAACGGATCGGGTGGTCAGACTCACTGACTTGGTTGACACATGTCATCGGTTCCCAATTAAGCAGAATGAGATCGATGCATATGCTGTTGATCATTGGATTGTCTGTTCCAGACTCAATTATTTACAGACCGTCCGCCATATAGCTGAAATATTGCTGAGTGCGCGGCGTGAAAAACTAAACAAACTCACTCACTCACTCACTTGTGTCTAATCGTGCGCTCTCTTTATTGCCGCTGTGATGTTGCTGGAATATTGCTAAAAGCTTGATAAAACCATACTCACTCACTCACTCTCTTTATTTCAGTGGCGATGGTACATTATCAGCGTTCAACATCCTCCTAGGGAAGAGAATGGATCTGCAATCGAACTGTTTGATTCAGAGTTTCTTAGTTTGGCAGCAATGAAGGTACCTTCCACGGATATTTTGATTGTATACTTCCTCGGAGAGGATAATGAAATTTTAGAGCACACTGATCCACTGACTGGGGTAGCACTTCTAACATGCTTCAGCAGGGTATCAACCTGTGAAGTTCTGGGTCAGAATTGGTCGGCAGCAACCTAAGCTGGTCGTGAATCGGCTTAATTAAAGCGATTAGGTGGTGAGACTCACTGACTTGGTTGACACATTACATGATTGCATCACAAATGTGTAGATCGATACTAATTATGTTAATCACTTGATTGTTTGGTCCAAACACAATTATTTACTGACCACTGCCATATAGCGGAATATTGCTGAGTCGCGGCATTAAACAATATACCAACCAACCGTTACAAAGGAATTTCCGAAATATGAATCATTTTTCTAATTCAAGAGTTCCTAAATTCCTCTGAATGTACTAGGTGCAGTCAATATGATATCCCAAATTCTGGTGAACAAACAGCCAATCACGAACTTGCAATAATATTATTTCCTTATTGCTGGAGATAATGAGCAACCATTTGAATTATACTTTGTTCAGCTAGGAATTATTTTACAAACATTGAACTTTGTGGTGTTCCTGTTTCAGGGGGAGAAGAAGGTGGTGTGCGGTACCGGGGAGGGGGTCCTGAATGTCTTCAACTGGGGGGAGTGGGGAAACATCAGTGACCCGGTTCCCGGACATCCCATGTCTGTTGATTGTATGGTACCCATCACCAGGGATGTTGTTGTGTACTGGGTCTATAGATGGCATTATCAGGTACAGTATATCATATATTGTGTGTACTGGGTCTATAGGCGGCATTATCAGGTACAGTATATCATATATAAGTGTACTGGGTCTATAGGCGGCATTATCAGGTATGGTATATCATATATATATCAGTATACTGGTTCTATAGATGGCATTATCAGGTACAGTATATCATATATCGTGTACTGGTTCTATAGATGGCATTATCAGGTACAGTATATCATATATACTGGTTCTAAGATGGCATTATCAGGTACAGTATATCATATACTGGTTCTAAGAGATGGCATTCATCATTTGCACTGGGTCTATAGGCGGTATATCTTATATTGTGTGTACTGGGTCTATAGCTGGCATTATCAGGTACAGTATATATGATATTGTGTGTACTGTGTCAATAGCTGGCATTATCAGGTACAGTATTTCATATATTGTGTGTACTGGTTCTATAGATGGCATTATCAGGTATTGATATACTGTACCTGATAATGCTGTCTATAGACCCAATACAAATGATATATGATATACTGTAAGTCATAATGCCATCTATAGAACTCAGTACACAATAATATATGATATACTGTACCTGATAATGCCAATATAGCCAGTACATATGATATATGATATACTGATATCATTTTGGTAACTGGGTCTATAGACGGCATTATCAGGTACAGTTTATCATATATTGTACATGTCTATAGATGGCGTTATCAGGTACTGTATATCGTGTGTACATGTTCTATAGAAGGCATTATCAGGTACTGTATATTGTGTTCTGGTTCTGTAGACTGCATTATCAGGTACAGTACTCTCAACTTAATATAGTAAATTATGTTCATAATGAACACAGTTCTAATAAACTGACAGATGTTGGTCATGCCACTTTGTGTATATTATTTTGAAGATGTGTATAGCAAGCTATGGGCATACCCTACTATAATTAGTGGTTTCTTTAAGTTCGGGTTATAGTTTACTTTACCGATAAACAATGTTTTAAAACACCTGTGGTTTAAACCAGGGAGACTATATAACACTGTTTGTAGATTATCCCTGTTTAAACCAACAGTATTTTCAGTTATTTTCATCTTACAATTATACTCGTTAAGCTAGCCTTGTAAGTAAAATGCGCAAAAAATTCGTTAACACTTCTGAAACATTTCTCACCCCCAGGGCGGTGAACATTCTGCCAAATCGCTTTGTGGGTGTTGTCGGGGAGCATGAGAATTTTCCCGTGGAAGGGTTGTGCCTGTCACACGACAAAACCCTGCTTGCTAGCTGCTCACATGACCAGAAGGTCAAGTTCTGGAACATTGAAGGACTTGAAAATATCAAGTTTAACGAGAGGAAGAAGGCAAAGAAATCCAACAAGAATAAACGCCTAAATTCATCTAAACAGGACAATTTTTTCTCTGGTTTGGTTGATGATGATAAAAAAGACAATGTTGGTGATAGTGACACTGATGATGATGATGATGACAGTGATGATGAGGGGGAGGAAGAGGATAGTGATTGATTAAACTGTTTTTTTAATTATGTATGTTGTTTGTTCTATGTTGCGATGTGTTTTTCACTAACAAAGGGCAGATTGATAGCCTAGTTCAAACAGTCCTTTGTCCTTTGATAGTATGAATTCCATTTCTGGTTTACACTCCCATGATGTAGCAGGAATATTGCTGAAGCGGAGTAAGACTCTCTCCAAAAATAGAGGATACTAAATGACCTGTGTATATCTAATGCCATTTTTATTAAACAAGTTAATGATTTGGTATGAAACGAGAGAAAGGGAGTTTGATACTAAATCTTTCATGATTTCTATAAAAATGGTATTTCACGGAAACAAGTTTAGTATTCTGTTTATTACTCTCCAACATAAATTGATAGAAACTGTAATGACTCTCAGCTTTCTGCGAGTCAAACAAGGTCTTATACTACTGTGACAGAGGTATTAGCATTGTGACGTCATAACTGTAAACCACTATGACATCATACGTACGTCATCACGCGATGTTATTACACAATGTGTAATAACAATGTAAAATAAACTGATATCTTCAACGGGTGAGTAATAAATAGAGAATACTAAACGATGTCCCATGTAATACCATATTTATGAAACAGGTGAATGGTTTGGTATCTAACGAGCGAAAGGGTAAAGTTATCAATGATCATCGTTGGTTGACGTTAATGATGGTCATCGTTTGGTGAAGTTATCAATGGTCATCGTTAAGTGACGCTAATGATGGTCATCGTTAAGTGATGTTAATGATTATCATCGTTATTTAATGACAATGGATCATCATTGGTTGACGCTAATGGGTCATCGCTACGTTAATGATGGTCATCGTTGTGGTGAATCATTAATGATGGTCAATAGACATCGTTGGATGTGATGGTTATCGCTATTGACGCTAATGATAATGATGATTGATGGTCATCGCTTGGTTGACATTAATGATGGTCATCGTTGGTTGACGTTAATGATGGTCATCGTTGGTTGACGCTATGATGGTTTTGTTGGTTGACATTAATGATGGTCATTGGGCATTGGTTGACGTTATGATGTGGGTAATCATGGTCATCATCGTTAATGATGGTCATCGTTGGTTAACCAATGATGACATCGCTAGGTGATGGTCATTATCAATGGTTATTAATGTTGGTTGAGTGGGTTATCGCTGATTAATGATGGTCATCGTTGGTTGGCTTTAATGATGGTCATCGTTATCGTGACGTTAATGATGGTCATTGTTGAAGTTGACGTTAATGATGGTCATTGTTGGTTGACGTTAATGATGATGGTCAGCTTGGGTGATGTTAATGATGGACAGGTCATCGTCAATGGTTGGATTGGTTGACGTTAATGATGGTCATCGTTAGGATGACGTTGATGATAATGATTAATGATGGTCATCGTTGATTAATGTTGATGCTAATGATGGTCATCGTTGGTTTGACGTTAATGATGGTCATCGCTTGATGGGTTTGACGTTAATGATGGTCATCGTTGGGTGACATTAATGATGGTCATCGTTGGTTGATGTTAATGATGGTCATAGTTGATTAATGGTGAAGTTAATGATGGTCATCGTTGGTTAATGACGTTAATGATGATGGTCATCGTTGGACGTTAATGATGGTTAATGATGATGGTCATCGTTGGTTGATGTTAATGATGGTCATCGTTGGGTGAAGTTAATGATGGTCATCGTTGACGTTAATGATGGTCATCGTTGGTTGACGTTGATGATGGTCATCATTGGTTGACGTTAATGATGGTCATCATTGGTTGACGTTTATGGTTGTCATAGCTGGGTGAAGTTAATGATGGTCATCGTTGGTTGATGTTAATGATTGTCATCATTGGTTGACGTTAATGATGGTCATCGTTGGTTGACGTTAATGATGGTCATCGTTGGTTGACGTTAATGATGGTCATCGTTGGTTGACGTTAATGATGGTCATCGTTGGTTGACGTTAATGATGGTCATCGTTGGTTGACGTTTAATGATGGTCATCGTTGGTTGACGTTAATGATGGTCATCGTTGGTTGACGTTAATGATGGTCATCGTTGGTTGACGTTAATGATGGTCATTGTTGGTTGACGTTAATGATTATCATCGTTGGGTGAAGTTATCAATGGTCATCGTTGGGTGAGGTTAATGATGGTCATCGTTGGGTCAAATTGAGGATGGTCATCACTGGGTGACATACAAGCAGCAAATCCCATGTAACCTGATGTACAACCACCGATCACTACAAAACTTTGAACACTTTTGTAATGAAGTCCTCATATCAACCATTATCCACCATATTCTCTGGCATATATTAATCCAGGCAAATTGGTCATCTCCAGTTAATGTGTGTACAGTAAAATATAATTTTTATACAGGTGCAAATATTTTTGTAGCACAACATTTCGGCCTGAAAGCACATGTGTTTCAAAGACCTGTTAACGTTCTCTTTGCATTACATTTTAGATTACAACAGATTTCAGTTGTTGAAAGTGTCACATTATCGTAATAATCAAGTATTAGTTCCACTGGTCTTTTTCACCCTGGACAAGTTTCAGAAAGTGTGTTTCAAAGACCTGTTAACGTTCTCTTAGCATTACATTTTAGAATACAACAGCTTTTAGTTGTTGAAAGTGTCACATTATCGTAATAATCAAACAGTAGTTCCACTGATCTTTTTCACCCTGGACCAAATGGAGTGAATTAGAAAGACATTTTTGTTAATTTAATTGTTTAGCAGTACACTGGATACTGAGTGATTACTCCCTCAACACATTTACTTAACTGCCTGAGGATAACATTGGGAGATCTAATGGTGGAAAAGTCTATTTGCAAAGATAATTTTAAAGTACAATGTAAAATTTGACAATTTATATCCTCTTCGTTAATTCCTCAAAATACAGGGCCTCAATGGAGACGCACCATTTTCAGATACTCATCACGATTTGCTTTGCTGAGTTACAAATGTACTGAAATTCATTAGAAACGCACAACCCTATAATTATTGATCTTGGATTATTCAAAGCTGATTTCGAACCCAAACTCTGCAATCCGACTATGACGGATAAACGTCATGCACACCGAGAAACACGTGCATTCATGTGTGATGATGTGCCCAACCATTTGCTGGAAATAGGTTTTGTGTGAAAATGCAGAAAACACATCGACCCATCATTCAACTGTTTACCCAGATCCCACCTTAATTTTGAACCGCACAAAATTGTTGTCTTTACACAATGCCACGTTTATCGGGATGGGAGAGCAATTTTAAGGACCTGTGAAGATCCGTGTTAGAATTGATCTTCAATAACCCATGCTTGTCGTAAGAGGCGACTAACGGGATTGGATGGTCAGGGTCGCTGACTTGGTTGACACAGGTCGTTGTATCCCCAATTGCGTAGATCGATGCTCATGTTGTTGATCACTGGATTGTCTGGCCCAGACTCGACTACCTAAAGACCGCCGTCATATAGCTGAAAAAGTGCTGAGTGTATTAAACATTCGTTTCAAGAGCTGATAGAAATATATGACGAAAGGCACAATGTAACACCACATTTCTCTGAAAATATGTAATGCATTTCTCTCAATAATACTATCAGCCCTCGGGGAAGCTACTTTATAATTTATTCCAAAAGAAAAAATTACGTATTTAGATTACAATATTAAATGAATGAATGAGTTAATGCAACGTTGCATTATATTACTTGACTCTCGCTCCCTCTACCGGCCGAACGTTATTTCAAGCGAACCCTATAGTTATGTCCCCTGAAGCGCACTTTACGAATATCCAAGTATAACGCAACTTGTGATCGAGGCCAGTTCGGCAACACTGGGTGCGACAGTTTTCGATGTACGGAGCAATCGTTTACATTCCATATATGACAACTGGAAACTCTTCGCCTCGAAGTTTCAGTTATCGATTTTAAGGCAAGTCGTAAGGGATAATAAGTCTGTTATTGCATCAACAGAAAGCTAAAGTGAGTGCATATGCCCCCAATATATACAATATAGGCCAAAATATTGTCGCAAATATGTGACATTGTGCCTTTGATGCTCGTAATAATGTTGATAACAACGTGTCTCATTGAGGTCTCCACATATAGACCTCACATAGTTGCATAGTCCGCTCATCTTGACTGGCAATGGCGGATTTGACCTGGCCCCGATTTCTCGAAACAAACTGAAGTCTGAGTTTTGACTTAAGTTAGAGTTTTTACTCAAATTTGACAAAAGGCAGGAAAATGCCTTTCCCAGAATAAACTGAAATCAACATTACACCCAAACATAGTTGACAATTTGAGTTTGGTGGGTGATTACTTAAGTCTTTTTAGCATTTTTAATCTTTAAAATGCAGTTGAGTTAAAAGATCAACTGTTTCAAATTGTCAAACTCAGTTTGAAATTTCATTAAAAACTTAAGTTTGTTTCGAGAAATCAGGCCCTGATTATGGTCCTTGACTTTTCCTTGACCTCACCAGAATATGTTCGTTTGCAGGTGTTAGGTATGTAGAGTTGCGTCCATTTGGTGTGACAGGAATCTTAGTGCCACATGCCACAAACCCATGGAAAAAGACTTAAATTCTGCATCAAAGCGATGTGCATGCTGACATTTAACTAAAAGTGTTGTTATAAGCTGCGTGAACGAAGCTCCCTCTCTCACAAATTCAGATAAACAAGCTGCTGTGGAAAGCCATACCGCCTCCGTGGTGTAGTGGTTAGAGCGTCCGCCCGGAGAACGGAAGGTCGTGGGTTCGATCGTTCGACGTTAAGATATGGTACTTGTTGGTCCCTGCCTGGCGCACGGGATTAATGGGTACAACAAGGACTGGTCAGCTCGGAGTCAGTATAATGTGCCTGAGTGGGGTATTCATGCTTAACTGCGGCATGATATCTCAGTGAGCTTGCACTATAAAACCAGAACAATCTGGGCTTGTACAAGCAGCCACACATACACACGCATGCACGTCGTCATATGAGCGAAATATTCTCAAGTACGACCCCATTTCACCTCACCTCACCTTTGGAAAGCCATAGAAACATCGTTTGGGTTCGGATCTCCAACTTGTAAAACCGGTTTTGTAATGTGATGTAGTTGCAAATTGCTAAACATGATGATGTGACTTCATTCATTCAGTAAATGAGAATAGAGTGTTCCGCTTTAAAGATGCGAAGCGATTCTGTTGTTACCTCGTACAACTGTACCTTATACATACTGGGGTATCTTTAAACCCATCTGGAAACACTGTTTCATCTACAAAACGGGCTTGCATTTTCCTTTGGAATAAGCTCAATGTAACGTTGCTAGAAGATGTTACAGAATAACCCTTGATCATAAGTAATCCGAATCTGGAATTCAAACCCGCACCAGCCTATCGTTGCACTTAGTGACAACCTTGGGCAAAGGTATGAATGGTGACTTGTTACGGTATATCGTGAATAAACACAGACGAAATTCACTGTTAGCAAAGCTGCAATGATCGTTTATTTGACGATGCGAATAGTTCATACACATGTATAGAAATTTCAATGTTTTTGGCTGTTTTAGACAAGCCACAATATCAAAACGAGTCATCCGACTAACATGTATGTTACAACTGTCTTGTCATCAAATAAGAACAAAAAACAAGAAAATAATCGAAATACACTGTGAGATGATCGTATTTGTACTTATTGGCTATTTGAGTCTCGTAGCCACATAGTGATTGGTTGTTGTCTGGCGATGTAGCCAATCAGGATGTACCATTGCAGCAGCACGTGCATGCGTACAAGAGCTTAACAGTCCAATCGAATTAACGTTATTCTTTAGAAATCTCCGCATTATTCTGAAACGATATCCTGAGAAAAATATTAAATTGTTTCTTTTTCTCACATTTTCAATAAATATCACAATGAATCTTTATAACATATAAAAGTTTAAATAACTAATATTGCACTTGAAAGAATATTACAATGTAGAAGATCAAATATTTTCAGCCGTGTCAGAGGGTCACGTGGTCTTCAGAAGAGTCCTAAGAAACTTGAAATGTTTGAGGAAGTACATCACAAATTGGCAGTGTTGACGAGTGGATACTGTCACGTGCAAAATGTTCACGTGTCATTGTCTGCATTGCAAAATGCAAATTAGTCGCGTAAACGAGTCTGCACGTGGTTTTTTAATTTGCCCAGAAAGTGGGTATCATCTGTCGAGGATGTTGCCGTGACGTCACGTCTCTTAGAGCCCTCTGCCGTGCCGAGCTTCAGTAACCATGGCGAGGAATATATTTCCATGACAACGTATTGTCCCTTCTATGTAAAGTCCAGACACATGCAACATAAACGCATGGTTGCTTGCAAAACTCAACGCGTTGCCATAAAGACCAAAGAAATTTACACAGATAGAAGGACGGGGTTGCGAGTAACTTTGTACAATTGACGTCATCTACTAAGGTAGTTTTGACGGATCCTGAAACGAAACGAAAAATATGTCAGGAACGGTACACTCAATGAAATCCACCCAACAAGACAATGCTATCAGCATGTGTGTAAAAGTTCCTTATTATGCAACTGAATAATAGTTTACCCTACATTCCGCTGCATTCTAGCAATATTTAAGAGGAAGCCAGAAAACGGCCGGTAGGGCCCAATACAGTGTCCTTCAGGGTCCATACGAGACTTACTCGTGTTATTCCGGGACAAGCCGAGGATGCGGAAAGGGGCGAGTGGTGACGAATGCTTCAGGTCAGGTCAGGGGTGAAAAAACGTGAATTGTAGATTACTTAAAAAGAACCAAATTGTGTAGGTACGTAAACAAATATTCTAACCGACTCAAAGCGGTGAGTATAGGCTGAATCCAACATGCTTTTGCAGCTTTTATTGTTTTCAAATACAGCTATTAATTATCGAGCTACTCAGCCTCCACAGAGGCGAACACAGCTGTCAAGATCACAGTGTGTACATTGAATCTCACCTTACTGTGACTGACCCTCTCTCTAGGACAACTATCATGATATCGAAGCCTACCGTTTATATTCTGACGATTTTGACATCCCTTGTAACAGACATGGAGCGTGACCGTCTGACGGCGACAAGGTTCTTCTCAGCGGTATCGGCTCTGTGGTCAGCCTCCTCGATCAGCTGCTGAGCTTTGCGGTACTTGTTCATTGTAAGGTTGGCGACATCCTCCTGTAAGACCACAGAATACATATGTTAGGTCAGTGGACTGAGTGAGTGAGTGAGTGAGTTGGGTTTTACATCGCTTTTAGCAATATCCAAGCGTTATCACGGCGAGGTCATCAGAAATGGGCTTCACACATTGTACCCACGTGGGGAATCGAAAGGTCTTCGTTGGACGAGCTAACGCTTTAACCACTAGGCTACCCCACCGCCTCATCTTGGTAAGAAAGCATCTGCTGTTACTAAATGATTAATCATATATAGCATGTTTTCACTTACGGCTTCCTCGATCTGGCGTTTGTATGCCTTGACCTTCATAGATAACTGATCGTTGATGCTCATGGTCTCGGCGACTATCCTGCGGTCATCATCAGTCTGCATCTGGATCTCCTTCAGCTGGCGTTCCAGCTTCCTGCTGGTGGCGAATGCCTCCCTCACGCGTCTCTGTTCAGCCTCAAGCTCGGCCTCAAGGTCCCTGATCTGCAATATCAAATATACCATGATTTCAGAATTGCTATAAATACATAAAACTACAGGTCCTTTGCTTAAACAGTCTTTGGGATTGATGGTATGTGTTTAGCACCACAGGCTTATCATTCAGCCGTTAATACAAATTGATGTTTTAGGGACAGCTATATCTGCAAAATCTTTCACCGTTGCCGTTTCAGATCATCATGTGTAGACATACACCTCATCGTGAATCGAGGTTTATAAGCTTAAGCGTGTGCATACAGTATACCAAGCTTAAGCTTAGAGAACACCATCAGTAGGTTTACGAGTGAGTGAGTTTGGTTTTACGTCACTTTTAGCAATATTCCAGCAATATCACGGCGGGGGACACCAGACATGGGATTCAAACATTGTGCCCATGTGGGGAATCGAACCCGGGTCTTCGGCGTGGCGAGCGAACACCTTAACCACTAGACTACCCCACCGCCCAGTAGGCTTACGAAAACCACCAAGACTAGGCTTACAAAACATCTAGAGTAGGCTAACAGAACACCGTCAGGAGGCTCGCTGTACCCCAAGAGGAGGCTTACAGAATACCATGAATAACATTGGCATCTAGTACTCACCCTGGCCTGGAGCTTAGCAACCATCCTCTTGCCTTCCCGTGTGGCGAATGCCTCGGCCTCCTCCAGACGGACAGTGATCTCGCGGATCTCGATCTCCAGCTGCTTGCGGAGGCTCTCGGCGTTCTTGTAGTTCTCCTGTTCCTGCTTCAGCTCATCAGCCAGACGCACATTCTCGTTGAAGAGTCTGTCGGCTCTCTCCTCGGCGGCTCTCTGGGCGTTGATGGCATCCTCCAGGTCGGACTGCATGGCGGAAATGTCGGCCTCCATGCGGCGCTTGTCGTTGGTGAGGGAGGTCACCTGGATCTGGAGCTCGGACAGGCGAGCGTTGGCGTCACCAAGCTCGTTCTCGGCATTCTTGCGGGCTCTCTCGGCCTGGGAGAAATGGCATATTATACAGACTGGTTACAGTTTCAACAACTGAATTATGATTTGTCAGTTAACAATGGTTTTCCGATTTAAACGATTAAATTCAGGCATTATTAACAATCTGAAAAGTCCACGATATATAGTTCTTGAAGTGAATTCATACAGCATTTAAATCTAATTATCGTGTGTGATTGCGATCCCTGTGAGTAAAAATGTATATACAAATAAATATACATGAAATCCACTTTTTGTTTTGTTAACTTTCATAGTTATATGTGATTATATGCCCTGGTCGGATGTCTCAAAGTTCGGATAACTCGATATTTTTTGGTCCCATGAATATCGAGACAACAATTTCTGAATGTTACGATTGAGTCAATTGGTGCATATCTATGTCTCCACTATTTCCTTGAACATCTAATCTCGCGTGTCTCGGCAGGGAAACTGTACAACAAAGACGTGATCAGCTGTTGTAGAACATAATGCATCCTGCGTTTGTGAACATAGAATGTCAAGGTACTCACAGCTTCAAGCAGAGATCTGACATCGTCAACTTCCTGTTGAAGGGCAATACGCTTCCTCTCGGATACGGACAGCTGGCCACGGAGGTCATCGGCCAGGCGGCGCTCTTCCTCGAGAAGAACCTCCAGCTCCTGCAGAACACACAGACACGCTCATTAGTCAATAGTGATGCGTGGATGATTACGTTTGTGACGAGGTGTGGACATTAGAAGATAAAAGGGTTTAAAGTGTTGTCACTACTCTAACCCTTATTTAGTAGATGGTAGCCAAAAGTTACATCCTCGAAGGACACTTACATATGTCGATCATTTCACTGATTGACTGACTGAGTTTGGTTTTACGCCGCTTTTAGCAATATTCCAGCAACATCACGGCGGGGGACACCAGAAATGGGCTTCACACATTGTACCCACGATCATTTCAAATAACATGTATTAGTCTGAGAAAGAAATAGGAAGACATTTGAGTCCTACCTTGACTCTGAGTTGCAGAGAGCGGATCTGTTTAAGGTATTCAGCATTGGCCTTGTTGGCGTTGTCCAGAGCTCCCTCAAGCTCCCTGATGTCGGTCTCGTACTTCTTCTTGATGCGGGAGATCTCGGTCTTGTAGCGGGTCTCAACCTCGATGAGGGTACGCTGGAGCTCCTCAATGGCACGGGCACTGCTTCTCCTGTGACGGACAAAAGGTGAAAGTCAGTGACGGCCTTACCAGAAGTGAGGTCGGTGATAAATGCAGTAATGAGAGGGTTCTCAAAGGGTGCCGTTTGAGTGTGTGTTGTTGATCACGCTGGTTTAACCAAGTGGTGAAACATTCACGTTCGCAGACATTATAATATACAGCAGTATCTAAAATACGTCATCGATACATATATCTTTGAACAGACAAGCAAATGTTCCTTAAGGATGACTCAGTATGGAAAGAAAGTGATTCAGGTTATTAAACTGAAATTAATCAAAGCCACACAACACACGTGCTGATTGCATCTGTGCTGGTATTTCTACATCTGGACTTATTCAGTTGATGAATTGGTATACGTTCTGTGTAAATCTCTTACTACTTGGTCAAAACAAAAAGCAACCTGATACGATCTGCGCGACACATGTTGATTTCATATACAAGTGGAGTATATCATCACAATTAAAACCCGATACAGGCGCATATTTAGAAACACAATGGCTGCAAACGCGGAAAAAGTCATGACATCGGGTCTGGACAATGTCCTCAGCAATATACACCACCACCACAACACGATCACCTTGAGTTCGACAGAAGGTCAATGCAAATATCACATTAGGTATGCTTACATCATTTCCTTTTCGCTTATGTCATGAATTTCGGGGCGTATATCCATTATGACACAAGTCAAATCGTTGGTCTAATCCGAAACGTAATTCTGATCCAATCCGAAACAAACAAATTCACAAAGAGACTAATCCCTATTTTAGCCGAGCATAACAGTAACAGAACAAAAACGCCGAGAGTGACAAATACCAAAGGGCAATCTAAAGAGCCTACAGCAGATGTTTGGTGCCAGAATATCAGGCAATGACGTAAAGGAATTCTAGGAACAACCATCCGGGACAAGAAGGTAAACCACCACCTGTTTCCGACCGTGTTAGCATTTGATCATGTAGGTGTAGCTAGACTGTAGGAATGTACAAATGCCGTGATACACCTATGGATAGAACGATACAGATGTTCGCCTACTATCAAAGAACCGATAGAAGATTATCGTCTGACTGATTTCCTTCACAAATTCGTTTTCGCAGTGTATTTCAAGAAAGGATGTGTTGCCGACACTGAGAAACGGCTCTCCAGACAAATGCATCGCAAACACCTTTAAATAACAGAACCCATGACATCGCAAACACCTTTAAATAACAGAACCCATGACATCGTGAACATGGTAGTCTTTATAAATGTCAAATGGGTTTCGTTTCAGTCTGTAAATGTCATTTAATGTACAACAATACCGTTCTAGGAACGGCAGGTAGGTCGGTATGGAATATCGAAAGAGCTTGAGGTCGTTTGTTTGGTTAGCAATACACATTTGGAGAACAACAAAACCTGTGTACCACTGTGCAGTTCGTTGAAAGTTTTGTCATCAGTTCCGAAAGGATGCATTCATAATGTATTTATGTAAGTTGCCAAAATATGATCTATATGTCACAGTGAAATTCGACAATATTGGAATAGTCAAATTCATCCAAAAGGGTTTCTACAAGTTGATAGTTGTATACGAAATATTATAGAAGATATTATAGTCTCATCGATGACATGAACTCCGCAGAATTTGATTCCACAAAGGGAGATAACACTCTCAAAGGCATACAACTTTCGCACCTGATGTTTTCGATCTCTTCATCCTTTTCTCTGAGTCTGTTCTCCATGTCGATGCGGAGCTGGTTAAGAGCGGCCTGGGCGGCGGCAAGTTTGCCCTCGGCGTCTCTGAGAGCCTCTTCGGTGTCGCGGAGTTGGTTGGCAAGGGAATCGCGTTCCATCTCCAGCTGGGCACGGATCTGGCGAAGTTCGTTCAGCTCGCGGTTGGCGTCCTTCAGAGCAAGCGTGACCTCGCGGAGTTGATCTGGAAAATAATAATTTAAATCTAAACCTTTGCTCTTACCAGAAGTGAGGTCGGTGATAAGCGTAGTAGTCCGAGCGTTTTCAAAGAGTGTCGTTTGGCCGTGTGTTGTTGCCCAAAGTGGGCTCCTCTTATTTGTGCGTTATATATATTTTTCAGAACTTGCTGTTCAGTTATTGCGAAATTCTTTTTGACATGAATCATGTGAAATGTGTCTCCAAAATGGATAATTTGATTCACCTACACACGATTGCATTAACCGTTATTGGACCACTGAAAATTATATAGGTATGACTAACGCACCCGAAAGGTTCTTGTTCTCTCTCTGAAGGTTGTCATTGCGCTCGGTGAGCTCGGCGTTGGCAACTCTGAGTCTATGAACCTCAGCTTCCAGATTGGCCTTCTCGGCTCTGAGAGCGGTAACCTCTGCTCCAAGCTCATCGACACGTCTCTGGAGCACTGCGTTCTCATTCTCCAGGGCACGGTTCCTCTTAGTGAGATCTTGGACAATGATTTGAGTCTAAAACAAAGGAAAGAATGATAATGATATACTGTGTTCATGTGAACCTGTTATAGAATAGACGCTTTACAAATCTGAGTCTGGGATACAACAGAATACTACTTCAGTTATGTCACCCTCTGTCAACTGATTGGGAGGAATACCGGAAGTGGCGCTGGTCTTAGACTTTATTCACAACGTGGAACCAGTCAGGGCTAACCGGACGCAAGGCATTACCAGTACTAAACTAATATCAATAGTAGCAAACCAAAAAGCCATTGAAGGTTATATTTCGCTGATAACTATTTAAAAAGTAAGGGAAATTCGTCATATTCGTAGCTTACTGTCTTAATTATCACTTACATTTTCAAGTTCAACGGTGATTTCTTTGATTTCAATTGTGAGTTTAGCTTTGGTCTTCTCCAGGTTGTTGTTCCTGGCGCGAAGTCCCTCGCACTCATCCTCCAGCTGAGCGATTCTGGTGTTGAGTCGGCGCCTGAGCTCTTCCAACTCTTCAGTCTTGGCCATCAACTCCTTCTCGAATCTAGCCTTGAGAGCGGCGAATTCGGCGTTGACCTTGCTCAGCTGTGTGCGCAGGGTAGAGGCAGCTTCGGATTCCTCTTCGTAACGGGCATTCAAGCTGTCGTAGTCGCTCTGGAGCTGAGAGAACTGCACCTGCAGGTTCTGTCGTTGCTGTGAACGAAGAAGGATTCGTTTGAATTGTTCTGCCGTGAATTGGTGGAGCGTTGTGCAATAATTACAATATGGTTAAACATGCGAAATATCATTGGAAAGTAGCTAGTATCAAGAATCTTCATGGAGTCAACGAACATTGCTACATCTAAACATGAAATGATGAACCGCCTAGCGAAAAATGTGAACATAAGTTTACGTAATGAACAAGTCGTCCAAAGGAGATATTTCCGGGAATGAGAAAAGTATATTCCTGTCAGTTGGACGACGTCATAGATTATTATCAAAATGAAATTTTGAAGAATCAAGCCTGTCAAATAGCATGTCTGCAGCCAGAAATTTCAACTTTGTATCAATTCATTTGAAAGCAAAATGCATTTCACCCTTACCCTGCTCTCGTCATCAAGCTGTCTCTTGAGGTCATCATTTGAAGCTTGAAGCTGAGACTTGGCCTTGGCGAGAGCGGCGTTGGCGCTGTCCAGTTCCTGCACCTGGTGCTGCAGATCGAAATTCTCCTGTGTAAGACGAGCCTTGGCACTGTTGGCGTCGGTCAGCTGACGGGTCAAGTCATCAACTTGGAGCTTAAGGCGGTCCACGGATCCCTGGAGACCCTCGGCGCGGCTCTCGGCAGAACTCTGGTGAAAGGTAATGTTCATTTGTGCTACAGGTTGGTCAACGGCATTCAGTTCAAGTGCATGAGTCTACACGCCTTATGCTCTTACGTATGATACTATCAGCAAAAAAGAATGATGTGGACTATGGAATCTGTTATCCCTAGTACAAGAGTGAGTGATTGAGTGTGGTTTTACGCCAATTTTAGCAATATCCTAGCAATTTCACGTCACGTCTTCACACTCTGAACCCATGAGGGGAATCGAACCCGACTCTTCCGTGTGACGAGCAAACGTTTTAACCAATAGGCTACCCCTTCGTCTCATATGGTGCAAGACAACCAAAGTGATGTTATTCAAACCTTTTGGAAAAGAAGCCATAAAGTCATGTCATCAAAGTTTCACTTTAGGGAGTAATGAGTAGTCTTCAGGAATACACCCTCTCTACAAGTGCCGCTTACCTTGGCCTTGGCCAGGGAGTCGTTCAAACCCTGAACGGTGTCGATTTCGATGATAAGCTGGTGCTTCTCCTTCTCGGTTCTGGAAAACAAATAAAGTCATAAGACAACAAGGACAACAAACACACAATCAAACAAACATACAACCAATTAAAATTGTTCGCTCAGCAATATTCCAGTTATATTTTGGTCGCCTGTAATTAAGTATGAAACAATTATGGTTTTACGCCGCTTTCAGCAATATTCTAATGTCACAGTTATACACAGATTACCCACTGTAGTAAAGAGGCGGTGTGGTAGCCAGTGCTTATAGCGTTCGCTCGTCACACCAAAGACCCGTTGGTACAATGTGTGAAGCCCATTTCTGGTGTCCCCATCCCTGATAGAGCTGGAATATTGCTAAAACGGCGTAAAACCATACCCACTCACTCACTCACTGTAGTGAGTTATTGTATTAACTGTAGTGATGTACTGACCTGTTCTTCTGCTTAGTCATGTACTCGAGTTGGTCAGTAAGGTCGTTGATCGTCTCTTGGTTCCTCTTCCTAAGGCTGGCCTCTGCTGATTCGTGAGAGATGACAGCAAGCTCCAGGTCCTTTCGTACCTTGTTCAACTCAGATTCACGTTTCTTGTTGATCTCGATCTGCAAGAAGCCACATAGAATCGTCTTAGTATAATCACATACTATTAATCAACGTCGTTAATCAAAATGAAACTCCACGCTGAATACATTCAAAGACCAAATGAAACACTGAAACGTCTATAGCATGTCGATGAGCAAGATTTGGTCGTAACAGTTTATAAGGTACCTACTGCATTACACATATGCTGAATGAAAATATAAGGAAAATTAATAGAAATTTACTGCTCTGTTCGGAATTATAAAAATAATGACAAACATCATTGGATTGTTCTCTGGCTTTCAGTAATATCCTTAAGGAATAACTCCAAACTTATACTTCCTAAGGTCTCATAATATACAGAGCAAATAGCACTTAAATAATGCCAACGCAAAACAATGTTTAACATCTATATGCTAAGGTTTCTTAGCTCCAGTTGTTTTGACCAATAGCTCGAACTACAAGAACGAAACCCTGGAATCCTGCGGGCCTTGGGGGGAGATATGGTCAGTTATTGACCACGGGCACTGACCTGTTGGACAGTAACTCCTCCCTGCTCTTCCAGTCTGTCAGCTACCTGGTCATACTGGAACGTGATCTCAGCCAAGTTCTTCTCAGCCTGTATGGGGAAAAGCACCACAGGTATTATAAGCGGCATGACGTAGTTTGATATTAACCTTCTGTTTATTCTTAATATAATATGTTGCATGGAAAATCATTTTCTTTCCGACTTTAATAACACATGTGAGAATAGGCATAATGTATAACATTGTATAAGATTGATAATATGCACGAGTTATTTTCTTGACCACAAAATATAGCTATCCTAAATGGGTGTATTTAGCCCTGAAGAACCGGAAGGGTCAGTGTTGTTGATGAAGCAAGTGGTACTTACGCGGACTCGGCAATCTCTCTCGATATCAAGGGAATCCTCCAGCTCTCTGATGCGTGCCTGGCAACAGGAAGCATAATGCATATAAAGATTTAATTGAAACACGAAATCTTTGAGAAACAATAACTTCTATATCATTCGTGCGAAATACTTATAAAACATACACGTTAGAAAATAAAAAAGTAATTAAACACGGAAATGGATAAACAGGAAATGGAACCTATGCAATACAAAGCAGAATTTTTATAATGGTGCCATTTCATACAAACTACAAAACCTTTTTTCTGTTATATACCAGATAAAAAAGAATTTAAAATACATGCAACATACGAATAAACATTCTTAAATGTGGTTTTAAAAGGTAAATATTTAAACGTCATGCTACAAGCTATAAACTACAAATTCAAACAACAGAAAGCTTTTTGCGATAAGGAATAATGTCGTTGTTGGGATTTATAAGGGGTGTTTATTGAGGAGATGAAATATTCATCGTTGGTACTTTTCGTGGAAGAATTAAAACGGGTTGCGGTGCAAGGGAAACATTGTGCGTGGTGAATCACATCTACCGAAACTTCGTGGCCGAGAATGAGAACAGAAATGGAGAAAGTTTGAATATATTTAGGAGCGTACGAGAGAAGGATTCAGGTGAAGGTGCCGATCGGACGTCAACTAGCCAGTCATTGCATTATCGCAATGAAAATTCAAATTTGCTCAACTTTTTGTGACATCGATTCTGGCTGACTCCGACCCTATCAACTTTGTAAAGCGGTCGTTGATTGGTCACAGCAAACATCCCTAAAGGGAGCTAACTGTAAAGACGGGAGAAAGAGGGCCACTCGTTCCACTTACACAGTACCTGAAACCTATGTTCTTCATCTTGGGCAAACTGTCGCTGAGTATTGTGGACACGTGATTCGTTAACAACCTGAGAGCAAAGCCATTGTTGGAGTTAGTGCAAGAGTTGGACAGCTAAAGCTAGACCTCAGTGATGGCCAAGGCTGCTGCACTACAAACATCCAAAACGCAAAACCTTGTTTTACCTGGCACACAGACAAGTGTACACTGTACTTGAAAGCCTCGTATGAGTGAGTGAGTGAGTGTGGTTTTACGTCGCTTTTAGCAATATCCCAGTAATATCACGGCAGGGGACACCAGAAATGGGCTTCACACATTGTACCCATGTAGGGAATCGATCCCGGGGTCTTTGGCGTGACGTGGGAACGCTTGAACCGCTAGGCTACCCCACCGCCCCGCCTCGTATGACAATTGATAAGTAGCAGCCTGAATGTCCTTTTGTGAGAATATTATTTCGCGGGAACCGCTGACAATAAAACGAATCCACTATTACAGCAAATACTTTCCATAACATTTGAATTCATTGTATACTGTTAACGGTATTCGCAATTTTGTATCCTCTGAATATTTTGTTTTCACATTCAAACAAGGTTTTTTGTTTTCTACAGAGAAGAAATTATTATGCAATAACCGTTATTAGTAATTAAAATAATAAATACATTATAATGAACATGGTATACAAGCAATTGTATGCATATTGTAGCAACAACACAACATGGGTTAGCTGTTGATAACACATTGACTTTCGTATATTTTCATAAATATACTGCTTTAAGAATAACAAACTTGAAAAAAAAGAGCTGAATAACAGAAATTAGGAAAAAAGCAAAATAACAATTTTCGCGTAATCACGAGACCAATCAACAGTGCAATATGTATAGATGGAAGTCGCCATTTATCGTTAATATTTCTAAGTTCGGCGTTAAACAACAAACAGATGGGATTGTGTCATTGCTCTGAGGTACTGTGCCTTGTGTTGATGATTGTGTTTCAGTTTGTGTTGGGAGCTGCATCCAAAACTTAAATATTACATGAACACAGAAAAGTGGCTATCCTTTTGAGTCCATGTCAAAAGGACTCGGGTATAACCGATTCTGGATCTTTTGTTTGGTCCATGTATTTAGGACATGTGACTCAGGTTCAGTTCTTGTACTTCCTGTTTTGAGATACACATCTAATCCTAAATTTGATAGATAATGTAATGTATTTGAATGATTTGTTATTATATTATCTTCTTGAATGTGACCAGTATGGCCTTAGGTGTTATCAAAATAATCTCCAGGGTCACCAGTGTAAATACTATGTCGTTGTGTAATGTTCATGTGATGACGCTTGATCCTAACGAATAATATTTTGGTAGCAGAAGCTTCAACGATTCAACAGGTGGCAAGTGCAACTGCAAAGCAAAATATGTATTCTGATAAGGTTTTCAAGTGCATCTTCACTTTCCTACGTCACACGACTGAGACAAGTTCACGTCTGCTTAGTACACGCAGACGAGACAAGCGATGATTTCAGTCAGATACCTTCAGTTCCGTGTAACACGGCGGGAACGGGCCAACGAGACAGGCGGCCCATAAAAGGAGGCACGATGCCTATTTATAGCTTTTGCTTGCTCCCTCACTGAAGATGAGAGGTACCGGTCGGTGCTGTTTTCCACGATAATAAAACTGACAAATATGTTTTATGTTTTGTCAACAGTACTCATTGAATGATGAGCTAATCCGTGGATGTGGCTGGTTTCTATCCTCAGAGCATTTGGTAGATGAAGAAATCCACCATTACGATCCAATACTATGTCCAGCAGAAGTGCCGCCATCTTGAATTTAATCCAATTTAATGCAGGTGTATCCATTCTCCGCGTGAAAAGATAATGTAATCCAGGTCTGCATTAATCCAATATTCAGGAAAATGTCAAACTGAAAATTTATACTATTAAGATAACAGTTTACTGAATGTATACAGACATGTTGGGGAAGAAAAAAGGAAAGTAAGAATGTCTATCGTATCGTTATGGAATATGTACAGTTAATTCTGGAAGCAGACTTATTATATAATTAATTGATATTACCCTCAACTATAGTTTAAATAATCCTAACTCTAAACACCTTTATGTATTCTAAAAAGTGTTTAGTTCTCCAATTGAAAATATAACAAATTATAATTGTGTAAGTATTCTTTGATTGTTCACTTATAAAATCAAGATGGCGGATCCGTGTATTGAATTACGGAAAGACGAACTGGAAAAGGTACGGACGATGATGAATTGAGCACATTCGGCTCCATGTCAGATTACCTCAGGCGGGAGGCACTCGTTGCTAGGAGAAAGTTAGGTAGGAGGCAGAAGATCTATTTTTAGTGCCGTGTAACGGTACACCAATAGATAATTCCCGCTAGCTACTGAAGCTCATCAGGGATGCCCATAACAGGAGGCCTCGACACAGGTCATAGCAGGATGATGAGGGGGAATGTGCTGACTACAGTGTTTGTCTCGTGTGAGGAGAAGATGTAACCATTTGTGTCAGCAAATAATAACCTTTTTAGTCCCGTCTTTCTTTCTTGTAGAATTCAGCGCTTTCATCGTAAGAGCGCTCAGTCTCCGAATAGATCTAATTTTGATAGAAACTATTAACTCAATTTAATTTCAAAAAGAACTTTAATGAAAAGTGAGGTTCAGACCTTAACCCAAGATAACTCTAGACTTGGTTCATTTAGACGTTTGTGTTGCAGAAAGCACTCGATGGAATGGAAATTGATAAGAGACTGTGGGTCAGACTGCAATCATTAGGAATTGGGAATTTTGTAGTTTTCTGAATATTGCTACTGTTAATGTATTTTAAGTTTACTTCATGTATTTTATACCCTTAATAATACCCAATAATATACGTATTTTCTCCGATATGGACAAATTTATTAAGTGATACCACGTTAGAATTTAATATGTTTTATTCGGAAGAAGAAACTGCTACCTAAATTCTACCATTCTGTGCATTGCCAAGATAACAGACTGTATATGATTGCGCCACTGCAGTTGGTGTTATCATGTGCCTGACAGAAACAGATGCCCTCACCCCCGTCCCTGCTCCCCTCTGTTCTAACCCCCCGCGTCTTGCGAATGATAAGATAATCAGTTCTCTGCGCGCTTCCCCTTAAAGACGAATTATGACGTCATTGTATATACTTTGCAATCATCACGAGTATGTCAAGATCTGGTTTTCCGCTTAGTGTATATCTGGTTACGCTAAATATTTTCATTTTGTCTTTAGTTTTACCAATCCTTTTGCATGCTAGCCTCAATTATTTTCCATTTGTAGAATTTTATTTCAACTAGAATTATGAGAAATACTTCTATTCCTTTACCTCATTCAAACGTCCACAGTAGCAGGTACCTATTTTCAAAGTATTCCTGGTTTTCAATTCACCCTCCTTCATATATCCACTCCCACCCGACCCATCATCGTCCTTTCCCATCTTTCCCTTTTCATGGCTAAAAGTTGCTCAACTAATATCCTATGTGAATTACCTGAAACTTTCATCTCAGTTTATGAAGTGCATGTGTACCCATCAATAACATATTGCACGGATGATTCTTATCAATCGATCAAGGTCAAAGGGTTAGATATGAATCACAGTTAAAAGCTTGTTAATTGTTTAGTGACATATAGCACATATAAGATAAACAAGTATTCAACACTGTCACCTAATCAGAACTAAAACTTCGCTGAGCTTTGAACAAGTTTAATAGTTATTTGATTAAGACTGCAACAATAGAAGTAGTAAGCAAGACATAACTTCAAAACGAAACAGAAAATCCAGCTTTGGGTTGCAGAAGTATTCGCAAGCCATGAAACAGAGAATGAGAACCAGTGGTTCTCGGTTGGGTATGCTTTTGATGTAAAGGAAATCTTTTCGTACGAACTCGGCAATCTGTATTCATTCTACTATTTGCCGATTCATATTTACACCTACACATGTTTTAGCGTTTCAAATAACATACCTTTCCTTCAGTTCATCATCATTTCACAGAAATATTTAACTGTATATCATCATTTGAATCGCAAACCATTTTGAAAGGTTTCCAAACCTTAAAGCTGGACTTTCAGTTGAAACGTAACGATTTGAACAAGAACAATACTGATTACATATATTATTGTGAAGTGTTATCATTTGTTATCACAAAACTAATTTTCCTACCTCAAGTCTGTTCTGGGTGGCGGGTGACGAGCCCCTGTAGACATTGTAGGCTCGGTGCGTAACCGAACGCACAACCTTTGAAGATACATCCCCGTAGTCCATGGTGGCTTATAGTTTCTATGAGAAACACACAAATGTTATTGAAGTAACAAACGAAAACGGAGCGGACGATCCCTCCTACTGCTCGGCACCAGTACTAGCTGACGACTGTACTCGAGTCAGACTAGCTTGAACGCCCGAAAGAAATTCCTTAAATACCCGTTACCTACAGTTTATATATTTCTGGCCGGCCGCTAGGTGGCGCTGAACGGAAGAATGCTCGCGTGTAATGTAATATGATACCCGCACGAGTCAAAGAAGGAAAACCCCCTTTTCCTTTTCCGTAATGGCGCTCGCTTAGGTTTATAATGCTAAAAATTATAATCATAATACGGACTGAATTAGTGATATATGTATATATGGGTTACAGAAAGTTTATTCATTGTTTCTTTAATATTTTGCAGTGTTTTAATGTTGAGTCGGTTCATGCGCCATATATGGAATGGGTTCGCCCCTATCGGGGATGAGTAAGAGCGTCAGTGTGGAAACACGGCCCGTCAGGGGAGAACCATTGCTAGCTTGCGCGATTTACTCAACAAATATGCGAATCCAAATATGTCCTTAGCAACCGAGTTACGTAGACAAAAGCTTGGAGTAGATATTTACTTGAACAGAAAATATCTGAGCTAAAAATGGACCGACTATACAGCAAAAACATAGTTAAGTATTTTTTATGATTTAAACAGAAGAGCAGTTATCAATATACAATTTTCGACCTTGAAATTCAAGAGTTCCTGATGGGATAAACGGTCTGGGCTAGACATAATAAATGATAATGTGCTTGCGTCCACTGGCATCTTGTAACATGTAATGTTGTGGGGGATGGAGAGTATGTGTATTTGATATCTTTCACGAAGACAAGCAGCTTTCCCTCGGACATCTATTCTGGGTGTGGATGAATCTGACCTTCTTGTTGATACCTCGCCCGGCTGGGCTGATTTATCTGGCACGCGGGATGCTTCTGTGCAAAACGCTTACCACTGTCTTTGTACCGAGAGTGGATACGGTGTGATATCAGGATATGTGGTTACATATCATTAAGGCGGCAGCAGAGATATGAACTCTCATCAGTGTACGTCTGTTTCCGTGATCAGTGTTTAAGAAAATAGATTCCATATTAATTGATATTAATTTTACATTGTTGAAAAAGCCTGAATTGGTGACCTTTATTGGTGATTTCTACTTGCCATTGTAATATTACGAGGTTTCAATGAACTGTCAGGCAGAGCTGTCCCCTACACCATATCAACGAAATGCCAGCCATGTTAGAACGATATAGAGATTCAATATGTACAGATGTATAACATATAACACAGAAAATCAGAGAAAAGAATTCAGTATTTAAAATAACGAACTTTAGATTTAAAAAGGATATGTTGATTAGTTCTATTAAAATGATCTCTACAAAAAAAAACGGCTGAAATGGTTAACATTGTTTTTGTACATGTCCATTTTAGCTAAAAAAACGGTAAATTTTGATCCCGAAAGAAATGGTACCCCTTGGCAACGACCCAAATACGGCTATTCTTCACAACAGAGATATAAGGATACAACAAAGTAAATGATCGATAGCATGGTCTATAACTACATGAAAAAGTTACAGTGATGGTTTTATCATATTTCCATAGGTTCTTAATCTGCAGTTACAACCCGGGAAAGTAATCACAGAGTCACAGACAGGCGAAAATCATTTACGTAACGGTTATCTTTGCAATTCCTCACACTGTTGTTATCCTCGAAGACATTAACCAGGTTGAGATCAAGGGTAATCATACGCAAATCCGCTTTGATTTCATATTTGTATACGAGCCAAGTGCAATTCCTGTAACTATAACAGCGATACGCCTCTATCTATTATTTATTAAGTGTTGATAGAAATTTCCTTAGTCAAGCAAACATCGCACCGTCTGCAGCATATAGGCACTCCTGTCTCGGGGAGGATACAAGCCGGGCAAGACTTCCCTTCGGCTGAGGGAACTTAATACTCAGCATGTTTTATTCTGGCACCGAGTTGCGAACAATTGCTTTTCACATATAGGTGGCATTTTCTGGCGTTCTGGCAAAGATGAGTCTTCGTAATGGAGAGGTCTCGTTCTATATATAACCCAGAAATTGGATGCTCGTAAACGGTGTCCGTTCCCCCTTAACGATTTACATAACGCTGTCACCTGTAATTAGAAATCCATTAAACCAATTAAGTTTTTGTATCATCTGTGATTTACGATCCTAATCCATATAATCGGGAATTAGAGTTACCTCCCCTTAGGAGCTCCTTTGCGTGGGAAGTCAGGTATGTAGGCGCTCTTCAGCGATGGAAGCGAGAAAGGTCGAGTGACCAAAGGTAACATACACTACGTGTCTTGCTCCAAGAGTATGAGTAATGCATGTTTACATCGAACCACATACGTCAGGATGCGAGAGGTATGCTGTTGTTGGTGAATGATCAGACAGGGGTCTCGTTTGTTGACCGGTAACCGTGATAACAACCCGCGTGAATAAGGAATCAAAATGACAATTTTTATTTAAAACAAAACCACATTCACCATCACACTAAGATATATAAATGATTCGTTATGCATATAATGACACTTTAGAATAGTTTAACTATATGAGAATAAGAACATCTTTTGTGGAATTAGTATAATGTTTTGTATAGGAACTTACTCTGCCTCATGTTTACTTTATGAAACTAATCAAGTATGGAAGCACGATTTTTATTTATAATTTTCTACGTTCTACTCGTAGGTGTATAAAATTATTTTTGTTTTGATGTTTCTCCCAGCTCGGATGTAAATGAACAATAAAACGCATACAACTTCTGTTAATATCAGACATCATGCAGCCGAGATGCCTCATGTGACTCAAGTATTGCGTCTGATATATCGTAATGTAACACTGTTTGATTGTACATGCAGAACAACCTTGTTATAAACTCATACATATTCTAGGCACAAACATACCAACATATAATCCACACGGACTATTGCTAGATTCTTTTGATACTGTTAAGTATGACTGTATAAATGTATATATTTTCAAAATAGAAATAAATGCATAAGGACGGAGATTGGAACCACAAGCGTTTAAAAATGTTTCTTATAAACGATCAGGCTTCACACAGAGGGTACATTGGACAACTGCCACCGATGTCAAAACAATAGACGACTGTAGAACACATCCTGTCATTTCTTTGACATTAACAAGCTGTGTTACTTGTTTATAGAAGATATCATACTATGTGTCAATACCATTGCATATAGGTAGCATTACAAATACACCATGAATGTAATAAATCACTAAGTCATCGTATTATCAGGCGATATCACCGGGATCGGCTACGCGTTGCTTATAATAATGATATCAACTTTGACATTTAGCTGGGGTAGAACTTGAAAAATCTCTATCATATTCTCCGCACGGGAGAAGAACCTTTTCGGATTCAGACACATGTTTGCGAACTTTCTATACTACCAATATAACGTGTTACAGTTGAACATGCTAAACATCTGAAGCCTGTATAGGATTTTCCCCCACATTATTCTCACACGCTGTGATTTAACTGGTTTAAAGCAGTTTAAACCCAACTCACTACATCTGAAGCCAATGGATTTGTCGCTTGGATTTTGTCGGAACTATTGTTTCCATTTATTCATCTTAGAAAATGGTAATATTTTATCATGACATAACACAACGAAACTTTTTATTTGACAATGTCATGAAAGATTTTAAGTTATTTATCCAGCTATGAAATAATAAATGTACTGTGGAAAAGCATCTGTTAAAATGCAAGAATTATGTCGTCAATGCAAGAAACAGAGATCATATGTACCAAGGACAACCAACAGCCTTCTTAGACATTGCTACCTACAGGGTTAAGCCTGTAGAACTTGGCGTACCATCGAGGCAGCAGCGCCTCAGTCAGCCCCGTAATTACAAATGTCAGACTTGCAACCGCTGCGAATACCTTGGAGATGGGCTGCGAGGTATTGTGTTACACTACAAATAATACCAACGTCCTGGCTTTCGCTCAACAGTGAGCTTTGTTAGGTACTCGAGCCGGCAGAATTGCTCCTGAAACAGTTTCTGATCACATGATGAAGACAAGAGTGAGTGAGTTTAGTTTTACGCCGCTTTTATCAATATTCCAGCAATATTACGGCGGGGGACACCAGAAATGGGCTTCACACATTGTGCCCATGTGGGGAATCGAACCCGAGTTTTCGTTCGTGACGAGTGAAACGCTTTCACCACTAGACTACCTCACCGTCCGATGAAGACAAGAGGACGGTTGTAGGTTTGTTCACAGGTTGCATACAGATTAGTAATAGAGTGTGCATTTTGTTTTTGTGCAACCTTTCCGAGTGGAGATTCTGTGCCGCCCATTTGTTTGTATGAGCTTTGGTGTGATGTTTATATCCTTGTAGGTGGCATCTTACTTAGGAATGCATGCTTTTTATGCGTTTGCGTAAACGACGCCATCTGGAATATGTTGTGTAAATAAACGTAACAATTATAACATAGCTCTATCGCATAAGTTAGTAGATTCAACACATACATCTGTTTGGTTTCATGAAAGTAGGAATTATGAATGTAGGCTTTAAATACTATATTTATCTGATATCTAAATAGATATTTCACTCCAGGGAAATAGTATTTAATGCTGGAACTACTTTCAGTTTGTGCCAATGACACCGTGGTTCTCATGGTAGAATCGGGGCGGTGGGATAGCCTAGTTGTTAAAGCGTTGGCTCGTCACGACAAAGACCCGGGTTCGATTCCCCACATAGGCACTCATTCACTCATAGTAGTATCATAACGATCAGTACGTAAGTACAGACTTGAATACATGTCACGTATCATTGTCTGTTCTGTTCTGTGTCACGACGTCTTAGAGTTTATTGTTGCTATTTCATGAGATAAATGATCAGCATTCACCAGATGAAGGAACAAGAATTGGCTCTCACACGTCATTCACCAGATGAAGGAGCAAGAATTAGCTCTCACACGTCATTCACTAGATGAAGGAACAAGAATTAGCTCTCACACGTCATTCACCAGATGAAGGAACAAGAATTAGCTCTCACACGTCATTCACCAGATGAAGGAACAAGAATTAGCTCTCACACGTCATTCACCAGATGAAGGA